AGCAGCTTCGCTTATCCAATAGGAGCCACACACATGCACAGCATAAAGATATCCCACAGCAGAACTCTTCTGAACTCGGTTGAGCATTGCTTGGAGGATAGGTTTAGTAGTGATATACTTTTACCTTTTATCTGGAGAAATTTTAATTTCAAATTCATTTTTGAAGAGTTTTCCATTGAGAAATCTGACTATCTAATAGCAGCTGCCTTGTACATAACGATGTGTTTTCCTCTTTTATTTCTTCGAGACAGGGTTTCTCTATGTGGCCTTGAATTCAGAGACCATCCTGTCTCTGCCTCCCCAGTGCGGTGATTTAAGGTGTGAACCACCATGCCTGGCTACAATGTTTTTTTTTTTTTCCTTATCATCATTATTTTAGGGACAGACTATACATATTATTTTATGTAATGCAGGCTGGGCTCCCTACTTGCTACAAGACAGAGAATGACCTTGAACTCCTGATCCTCATGTGCCACCATGCTCAGTTTATAAGGTTCTAGGGATTGAACTCAGCCTCTGCATTCGAGGCAAGCATTCTGCCAACTGACTTCATCATCTCTTTGTATCCTTTATTATGGCATGTTTTGGTGTTGGTGTTTTTAGTTTTTTTTTTTGTTTGTTTGTTTTTAAGTTGGGAGTTATTTGAACTCCCTACATTCCCATATACACTCTTACCCTAAGAATACGGGGAGTTAGTCAAGACTATTGAATCACCGAGTTATCCAATTAAACAAAAATCTGTTAGATGCTGTGATGGATAGCACACTTGGAACACTTCTGACTTTTCTATGATCTGACACCACACACCAGGTTTGTTGGCACATCTATAATTCCAGCACTCAGCAACCTAAGACAGGAGGGCTGTCATGAATTTAAGGCCAGTTTGAGCATCACATTGAATTCTAGAATAACCTGGGTTAAAGAGAGAGAGTCCTTCTCTCAAAAACAAAACAAAGTTATTTACGGCCAATCATTTCAGCTCTTTCCTAAATAGCTGGGCATGGTATATGCCTGGAATGCTAGTCCTTGGGTGGCTGAGGGAGGACTGCAGTGAGTTCCACACAGTCATGGCTACACAGTAAGACGGTTAGAAAGAACCAAAATAAATAACGTTTTGAAGTGATGCAATTGCCAGTGTCAATATTGTATAGTGGTATAATGTAAGGGGCCTTGAAAAAAAATTCTAAGTTAAGCAACAGTACCAAAAGGAACTGATAGTCTGTCTATACTCATAGGACAACGAAAAAGTGCAGGTATGCTAAAACTGACGTTTCTAAGATTCAAAATAAATAAAATTCTTCAACGTTTCATTCAAAAAAGTTCTGTCTAGGCTCTTCCTTTCTGCTCCACAACCTAGACATTTTCTCAAGGTAGTAATTTAGGATAACTGTAGGCCATCCGTTCTCCTCCCCTCCCCTCAGCAGCACTGTTCTTCACAGACCTATGGACAGTACTATTAGTCATTATTTTATATTCTGCCTGATTTTTAGCCATTTTCAGAAGGATGAATTGGTCATGTCTAGAAAATGAAACATCAAAAACTTACCATGAAATAAACATGGGGAAAACAAAACAAAAAACCCCAAACAGGACAAAGATGAATTATCCTTTAAGGCAGTGAAGTCTGGTATCCCCAGACTGTAAGCACAGTAGCTCCCAAGAACTTATTACAGGTGTAAATTCCCGGGTCTCTTGCAGGTGACTGACAGATGCCAAAGCTTGAGGATAAATGCTGGTATAAAATATTAAGATGCATGCAGGTTTTACATGACATGTAAGAGCAGGCAATACAGTAAGTAATTTACGGAACACACATAGGTGTTCACTATACACTTTACTTTTCTAGAACAATATAAGGCAGATGTTCAGGAAGTTCTGTACATACAGGTACTTGATACATGGTGAAGTTTACATGCGAAGAGTAAGAAAAACAGGCGTGGGGCTGGAGAGACAGTTCAGAGGTTATGAGCACTGGGTGCTCTTCCACAAGGCCTGGTTTCAATTCCCAGCATTTACATGGCAGCTCACAATCATCTCTAACTCTAATGCCAGTAGATCCAATGCCCTACTTTGTCTCCATGGTCTCTGCACAAATGTGGCACATAGGCATATATGTAGAAAAAACACTATACATAAAATGTTTCAAAAGTAGTTTTGTATAATTGATGCAGAAAGACCATGTAGATGGATCTCTACCTGACACAACATTTAATGATAAATGTAAGAGGGACTAAGGGTCTAAACGGTAAAGAAAAATCTATACCGCTAACAGAAGTGGATATGGAAGAAGAGCTTTGTGACTCAGGCATGAAAGGTTTGTTTGTTTGTTTGTTTGTTTGGTTTGGTTTTTTGAGACAAGGTTTCTTTGTAGCTTTGGAGCCTGTCCTGGAACTCTCTCTGTAGACCAGGCTGGTCTCGAACTCAAAGAGATCCACCTAACTCTGCCTCTCAAGTACTGGGATTAAAGGTGTGTGCCACAACTACCTGGCTGCATGAAGATTTTATTAAGACTAATGAAGCACAAATAAGATTTGATCATATTGTTAAAAACTTTAAAAACAAAAAAACCAAGATACTATCAACAATGGTGACCATATTATGGACTGGGAGAAGTTTGTAATATCTAAAATAATAAGAAATTCAGGCATCAAGATACAAGCCTGTAATACCAGCACTAAGAAAGCTGAAGTAGGAAGATTCAGAGCTCTAGCTACATATTGAGTTTGAAGACTTCCTGGGCTACATATACAGCAGAACTCTGTCTCAGGTGCTCCTATGCCAAAATTTAAGAAATCAGTATTTAAAATCTGTAAGAAGAAACTCCTGCAATTTCGTCTTTAAAACTTCAGAGAGATAGAAAAGTGAAAAAAAAAAAAATGGCCAAAAAGAGTAAGAAGTCTCCAAAATGTTAAACCTTAATGGGCACTATGATGGACAAATCCCTATTGCCATCTTGGCTAGACTTAGCATGACCCCAAGGTGTGTCTTTGAAGGTTTAACTAGGGAAGGAAGACACAATCCTGGGGGGCCGGGGGGGGGGGACGACGGACGGGACGACCAGCCCACAGGTCAGGTTCTGTATCAAATAAAGAACATAAAGTAAGCTGAATGCCAGCATTCAGTTCTCTCCCCTTCTAGACTGCAGAAGCAATGTGATGGCTGCCTCAAGTTCCAGCTAAGAATTTCTGCCACGAGGGACTGCAATGCACTCAAATACGGAGCCAAAATAAGCCCTTAGGTTGACTGTGTTATGCTGTAGGATGTCTTTCTGTACGCTGTGAATATATGTTACTCCCACTGGTTAACAAGTAAAGCTGCATTGGCCTATGGCAGGGCAGGATGGAGCCAGGCTGGAAATCCAAGAGGGATAGAGAGAGAAGAAAGGCGAAGTCAGGGGAGACGCTGGCCTGCCACCCGAGAAGCAACAGGATGTCAGAAGACACAAAGGCAACAATGTATAGAAATGGGTTCAGATGAAAGAGACAGCTAGCAAGAAGCTGAAGCCACAGGCCATATCGTTTGTAGTCAATGGAAGTCTCCTGAGTGATTTTTTTTTCTGAGTGATTATTTTACAAGCGCCTGTGGGACCGTGGGTGGGAGAGGTTCGTCCGGACTGCTGAGGTTCGTCTGGACTGCTGCGCAAGGCAGGAGTGGAGAAATTTCTATTTACAATGAGTGTTACAACCAGGAGAAGGTAACTACTAAGGCCCCTAGTACTGACACTTTCTAAACACTCCAGTAAGCAGAGGAACCAAGTTTAAACAAACACCAGACTACAATGTTCTGTGTGTACATGTTTATGTATGTAAGTGTGCATGCACATACGTGTATAGGCTGGAGGCTGATATGGGGTATCTTCTCATTAGCTCTTTACCTTACATTTATTGTTTTTTTTTTTTTTTTTTTGGTTTTTCGAGACAGGGTTTCTCTGTGTAGCTTTGCGCCTTTCCTGGAGCTCACTTGGTAGCCCAGGCTGGCCTCAAACTCACAGAGATCCGCCTGGCTCTGCCTCCCGAGTGCTGGGATTAAAGGCGTGCGCCACCACCGCCCGGCTTATTGTTTTGTTTTTTGAGACAAGGTCTCTCACCAACCTGAAGTTCAGATTCTGCCAGATTTCCTGGTCAGGGTGCTTCAGAAAGCTGCCTGTCTGTCTCCTCAGCGTTGGAATTACAGGTACATACTGCCATGCTTGGGCTTTTTATGTGGAGCCTAGAGCTCCACACCTAGGCTCTCGTGCTCATATGGAAAGCACCATCCAGACAGAGTGACTCCTGAAGCCCTCAGTGATCGATCATCCTGACTGGTACAGTTCTCTACTAACCGGGGTACCACTATTTAAACAGTTATCACAAACAAGATGGCTCTGGTTTTGAAAACCTGTTGTACAGGAGTGACCAAAGTCAGTTTTGAGCATGGTCATCACTACAATTTTGTAAACAACATAAGCTACAAATGGCTTCTGAATTTCTTCAAAAGATACAGATTATTATCCAAACTCTATAATTCTGTTACTATAACAAAATTCTCACAAAGAGTCATTTTAAGCCCCATCTACCCCCCATATTCTGTAAGAAAACTTTGGATATTAGTTTAAGTGTAAAATTTTACTATTTAAAAATTTTTTTACTTTTACTCTATATTATATGCTATTCCAAACTTTGGAAATGAACTTTCTTACTCAACTTTCAAGGATACTCCCAAATTAAAAGAAACCACAGTGGAATAAAATGATAGTGCATATAACATCTGTTGTACTCATATTTCAATGGAATATGAAGAGCAGATTACTGAAGAAGCCCTGATTCTGTGAAGCCTAATTCCTTTTGCAAAATTAAAATCAACAATTCTGGTTCAAGGTAAGATTATTGAGAACTGTGCAATTCTATCTACTTTAATTATTCCTAATTAAAAGTGTGAAGATGTGAAGTCACTAAAGGGAGAGTGGGAATATTTTACAATGCCGACCTAAAGCAGGAAGAAAGGGAACACCGAGACTTCGATTAAAGAAGCTCTTTGTCATTCTTTGTTTTAGAGATTACAACACATACAAGTGAAGTTTATCAAAATACAGCACATTTTTTCTACTATATTCATAAAAATCAATTCCTATGTAAATAGTACTGAAAAAATCAACTAAAATGAGTTAAAATTTACAAAGAGTTGTTAAAGGGTTTCAATCAAAATTATTAAAACTATACAGTACAATACCCAATTGACAACAGCTTGAAAGAAGTGCAATATTTGAGTTCAAATATTTTTAAAAGTGCTGACTATTCTGACTAGAAATGGAAATGTTTCCAACTTATTTTGTAAAAATAATGCAGGTGGTGTTTCAGCTAGTCCTGTAAGAATCTCAACTAAGTCAAAGTTGAAGAAAAAGAGCATGTCACATTAAAAATACCCAAATTATGCATCTCAGAAATTAAAAAATGAATCTGAGAACTGAATATTGCTCTAATAAAAGTTTTCAGACTAGCCTCAACTAAAAACAGTTGCTGGTCTCCTATGGCACTTTCCTCTGGTCCAAATAACCATGAATTACTTTTTACCCCTGCATGTCATTCAAATTTCATTTGATTACATAAAACAAAGCAAATAAAATTAATGGTTTGGATAAACAAAATTAATAACCTCTATCATCAAATACTTGTTACAGTAACTAGGAACAAAGGCAATTGGTGGTGGAACACTATTACACTGATCTGAAGTGTGGAGTTCACATTTCCTGTTATCTGTAGGAACAGCCCTTTATTTGAACACTTGACACACTGGCAGGCCTCGCGGGCCATCGCCCCTTTTCTCTCCAGTGCCCACAGCAGTTCTCCATCCCTGTGCCAGTCACAGACTCCTTTGGTTTCCTAGCTCCATGCGCACTCCACGCTTCCTTTCACTTCACCAAGGCAGCGCCAGGCCGAACAAAAGCAAGAGGCTTCCCTAACCCTTCTGACACTCTGATTACAGGCAACAGACATCATCTTCAAACTGGCCTTTTAGCTTCATTTGCTTCTCAAAACAAAAATTATAAATTAGGTTATGATGGAATACTAATTATAAAAATTAGATTGCAAGTACCACCATTTGCTAAAGAAAAAAGTATCAGGGAACTTCGTAGTATGGGAAATGCATTGACATGCATCTACATTAGAGTTAAAAACTTCAGTAACTAGAAAAATTAAAAATTGAATCACCAGTAGCAAATGTATAGTCAACAGCTATGACAAGAATTGATCCTGTAGAGCTCATAAAATGCAATTATTGTCTTTTAAAAAGACATTATGTATTTTATTGCATTATTCTATTAATAAAAATACATTATCAGATAACTTTTCTTTTCACTGTTAGCCTCAGATTTTTATAGGAAATAATGTTTTAATCTGGCCTCGGAAAGTGAACCCACCAGCACCAACTTCATCTAGCCACTCTTCAATGTGCACATAGCAAAAGCCAACACTTCAAATCTCTTACCCACATGGAAAAGTAGTTCGGCAGAAAAAACATTAATACCAGTTGGATAAAAATAAGGGCACAAAAGCTATGAGATAGACAGCTCTGCCATCTGTCTCTGGGCTACAATCAAGGCTAACTATTGCCTTGCATACAGTCAGTCATGTGTATGAAATCCAAAAATAAACCTACAATCTATACAAAAACAACAGAACTTTGTTTTTGTAGCCTTGATTTGCTAAGTTTAAAAACCTAACAACAAATTTCAGATGATATGAATTCAACAGTCTCTTTTATCTTCTGTACAGTGGTTCTTCCCTCTAACCACAAGCTCCATTATTTCAGTAATGTACAAGTTCCAAGCCAACCGTCTGAGTTCTTTATATATAAAAATAGGCAAAATAGTCATTTCCCCTCCAAGTGTCTTCCAATAAATCTTGCTATTTCCCACCCCCCCTTTTTTTTTGTCTATAGTGCTTATGAAGAAACTTCTCGTACAATGATGAGTTCTACTGTGTTCTGGAAAGTTTTTAACAAGGACACGGCTTGTCCATGTTCAATGTTGATAAAACTGTAGCCATTAGCCTAGAAGAAAGAGAAAACAACTTTTAGGAAAAATCTTAGAAATATATTTGCATTTCTAGTTGTAAATTTCTGACAGCCAGTTTACAACCTGTCAAAAGAAGAACCAGTCTAGCAATTTAAAACACACACTGGTTGAGGAGATGGCTTGGAGAGTAAGTCCATTTGACTCCACATTGGAAGCCCTGAATTTGATTCTGAAGGAGAAATCAGGAGAAAACTAACCCTTTTAAGTTGTTTTCTAATCTCTAAACTCATGAAATGCAGCATATGTGTGCACACACATACATAAAATTAAAAGCACATACAAACTAATGGTCCTACATTCCACACTTAGGGAAATAAAATCTCTACAGAAATAACCCTGGAACGTGTATTTTGTTCATGTTATCAGATCATTCTTTTTAAAATTTTATTTATTTATTTATTTATTTATTTATTTATTTATTTATTTATTTATTTATTTATTTTTGAGACAGGGTTTCTCTGTGTAGCTTTGCGCCTTTCCTGGAGCTCACTTGATAGCCCAGGCTGGCCTTGAACTCACAGAGATCCGCCTGGCTCTGCCTCCCAAGTGCTGGGATTAAAGGCGTGGGCCACCATCGCCTGGCTAAAATTTTATTTTATTAAAGTTATGTGTATGGATGCTTTGCCTGCATGTATGTCTGTGCCTGGTACCCAAGAGGCCAGAAGAGGGTGTTAGATGCCCTGGAACTACAGTTACACATTGTTTCTGGGAACCCACCTAGAAGAATTCTTCCTAGGGAAGAACAGTCAACTACACTGAGCCATCTCTTCAAATCCTCAGATAATGCTAACATAGTAGTGGTCCATGGTTTTGGAAGGCTTGTCAAGACAGGATCACACAGGGTGCTGTATGTATGGGTTAAGGTATGCCCAGGTTTACCAAACTACAAGAGTAACTGAAGGCAATGTCTAGACTTCTCATTCATTGGAGCCATTAGTTCAAGACCAGCATAGAGGTTATATAAAGGCTCGCTAGCTTTTATTGAGTTCTTACTCTGCACCAGACAGACATACATGTCAAAGTGCTTCATATGAATTAAATCCTTTCATTCTTAAAGAGAACACTATAGACTAAAGACAACACTATAGATTTTCATCTTATTTCAGAGGACTGAAAACCCAGGAATGTCTGGACAGGAATAGTAACTCCGTCACAAAACTGAAAGCAGATTCCCATGCTATTCAGAAAAATATGTGTGTGAATGTGGGGAGGTATTTATGGAGGGAAAATAATGTTGTGGAATATTTGTTTAACTAGGCAAACGTGTTACATTTGTTTATGTTGCATTTGTTCAACTATGTAAAGATGTGCTGCTGATTCACCTTGCCTGCCTAAGGCACCTGATTGGTCTAATAAAAAGCTGGCGGGCAAAGAGACTAAGGAGTAGGAGGAACCTAGGCTCCAGGGAGGAGAGAAAACAAGGGAAAAAAACAGGGAGAGGCCTGGGACCAGCCAGACATGCAGAATTAAAAAAAGGTAAAAAGCCCTGAGGCAAAATATAGATGAAGAGACAGGTTAACTTAAGTTATAAGAACTAGCAAGAAACAAGCATAAGCTAAGGATGATCATTCATGACTAATAAGTCTCCCCGTGTCATGATTTAGGAGCTGGTTGGTGGCCCAAAAGAAAGCTTATTACAAAATACCAGAAAATGGATACTAAAGAGAGTGTGGCAAAGTGTAATCACATCTGTTACACAGTTCCTGTGAGTTAAAAATGGTATCATCATGAACTTGCATGTCATCCTTTCAAACACTCCAATTTTAGTGTAATGTACTGCTGAAGTAGGCAGAGTTAACATTAAAAATGGTTGGACAAGGATTCCATCTGAGGTGGTCTGTACTTTTAGCTACTAAACTCTAATGTCTATCATTTTTTGGTTTGAAGGTTACTTCTTATTGTTATCTGAACTAACGATAGCTAAAACAGGAGAGAGGAAGTAGACTATCCTTGTGTACTAAGAGAATGCCACACTGCATGTACTTAGGTAAAATAAGTTACTGAAGTAACATAGGAAAGGACTGAAAATGCAAAAATCCTGTAAATTAGTAAAAATTAACATTTCTAAACTTAAAGTGATCTATCAAACATATAAGCATGATTTTTTAAAGTGTAAAGTAGAAATATCTAAAACATTAGAAAGTACTATAGAATAAAATTATTATAAAATGAAAGAAAATAATGAAAAGGTTGACTTGATTACCTGAATAATTTTATCACCTGGTTGTAGTAATTTTGATGCTGGTCCTTCAGGTTGTACCCTTGTTACAAATATACCCTTTAATGACAATCAAAAAAAAAATAATTATTGAAGGCCAAATTACAAACTGAAAGCATGACTCGGGAACAAGGGGACCTTTCTCAATACGAGGCAATACTCGACCACAGTGAAAGCTGTCTCCTGACTTCTCAGAGTACCTAACAGGTCAACATCATTTCTGCCTCTAGGAATCCTGACTTTAGCAATGCAATGAAATCACTTCTATGGGCTTTTGGAGAAGCAGTACCAAAACTAAAAATCACTTGGTAATATCATCAATATTCACATTCTTGGTTAAATTCTTTCCTTCAAACAATGTGGAACAAGCAAATTTCAAAAAACAAAGATAAAGAAAAGAAATGAAAGACACAGATTTACGTGAGATTTTCACCTAATAAGTATGGGATTAATGAATGAGACCTTACGAATGTTCAAAGACATTTAAAAAAAAACTTACATCATCATCAGGTCTGAAAGGGTTTCCTCTACCCCCGACACCTCCTGATATGCTAAATCCAAGTTCTGGATCCTTTTCTACTCTTACTCGAATCTGATTTAATATGAAAATAAAGGAAATATCACTATACCAGAAAATTGTATACAATAATATCCACATCTAAACACTGGTGTTAAGTTCAAGCAGAATATGCACGGACTTATCAAAACCCAACGTTCAGGCAGATGAGGTGACACGAGAGCACAGAACATCACTACTACTGTTAATGAGTTAGTGAGTTAGAGGCGTGCTGGGGTTACCGAGTGCGGCTCCTAACTTCATTGGTGACTCTAGTCACCCAACTGACACTGGCTCTCTTACTTTTAGCCAGCATGAATTTTAACAGCATGGTGCATACCTACAGAACATGTATGCATATTCCCATCGGTATTCACTCACAAACCGTTTAAATTACATGCTGTCTTTGCCTACTGTTTTGTGTCATAAGCTACTTAACATTCAGAGCTGGTTTTAGGAAATCTACTTTTGATTCCTTCTATCTGTTTATATGCTTCAAGGGAATTAGGATTTTAAGATTAGATCAACTAACATAACAGCAGTTTTTATAAACTACTGTAAATAGATGCAGGAACATTATTTTCTTGAGACAGGGTCTCATCCTGTAGCCCTGGCTGGCCTGGAATCTGCTGTGTAGACCAGGTGCACCTGAACTCACAGAGCTCCTCCTGCCTCTGGCTCCTAAGTGCTGGTTTGTTTGTTTACACAGGGTCTCACTAAACAAGCTAGGCTAGCCTGGATTATCTGGCGCATCCAAGCTGGCCTTGAACACACCATCCGCCAGCCTCAGCCTTCAAGGTGCTGCTGGTATGGCAGGACATAGAAGCTAAATTTCTGTTACAGGATGTTCCTGTTTACCACAGGCTCAGTCAAAACAAAATGTGAGCAATACCAAGGGTTTCAATGTTATCACTTCATAAGTAAACCATTAAGGCATATGAAATTATGACGTACACAACTTGAAGATCAAACCCTCAACATGGTCTGGAGACTACAGCTGAATTTCCAAATCTGAAAGCTGAGACTGTGCTGTAAGAATAGGACCATTTCAGTTTAATGGTCTACTAGTAATAATATTAGAAGGAAAATGACCGGAGCACCATCAATCCATTTTGGACAAGCAGCTGCCTTAGAATTATTAAAAAAACAAAACAAAACAAAACCCCAAAAAACAACACCCCCAACACTAAATCCTATGTTGCATGATCATAAAGCCAAATTAAAAACTACCAAGTTTAACACTTCAGAAACCTAAACATTATAAATTTAAAACAAAATGGTAAAAACTACTGTTAAAATTCTATATGATATACTGCTATTAACCTGTAAGAATATATGGAAAGTTTAATTTCATATTTCAAACAGTCTTGATAATTCTTACCTCTTGCTTTGCCAGCTCATGGCCTTGTCTAGGAGAACAATGGGGATGTGTATATGGAGGCTGGTGGGCCACTTTCAGCATCAAATAATCAATGAGTTGTTCTCTAGAGGGATGCCTTGCCACAGATGCCTGAGGGGGATGATGTATTTGACTATAATTTGCCTGAGGCCTGAGAGGCTGGCCCATCTGTCCATTACTCAAAGGCATCTAAGAAAAACATGAGTTATCTTTAAAATGACCAGTAATAATGTCTTATTACAAGTACTTGGATATTCTTGGCACAATACAAATGCACTAGTTTTAACATTATACACCATTAAATATACTGAGTTACTCAATATATTCTTCTAATTTTAATCCTTCCAAAAGAAACAAAGTTATTATGCCTTAATTCTAAACTTGCTTGAATGTTTACTGATTGAATCTATCAGCAAACTTTTAAATGAAGGTCTAATCTATGTTTTAAATTAATTGCTTTTCTGTTAGGTATAAAATCTACTGTTACACTTACCAATGTTAAAGTAGGAAACAAGTATACTGAAAAACTTTTAACTATTGATATACATAAAACAAATTTTATATACTAAAAAAAATTAAACATAAGTTAGACTATTAGAAGGGTATCCTTTTCTCATACCAAATCATAACATACATACACAAAAGGTGTATGTAATTATGCTTTTCCTCGAGAAAAAAAACTAATTGAGGAATATATTGTTTCTTAATTTGACTATATTTTATAACTTTATTTCTTCCTTTACAGAAGTAACAAGTCAATTCAGCTATCTACAAAGAAATTAAGTGATTTATTCTTTTTGCTTGTGTGCATTATCAGTAATTTTCAAGCTTTCTAAGGAATATTAAAAACATAAGAATTAAAACAGATGTTCTACTTTATTTCTCATTAAAAAAAAACCCACAAATTTTTTGAGATTATTAGTTTGCTGCTAATGAACTATCTTTAATACCCCCCCCCATGTATTAAGAAACTGAACCTGAATTTTAGACATTGTAGTGAACAGCTTATTCTATTCTGTAAAGAATCTAGTTAAAAAGAACCAAAATTCATATTATAAATGTTCACATGTAAAAAAACTTTTACACAGAAGAGGAAATAAATGCTTCCATTATTCAATCATTTAAGAGGATATAAATGCTTCCATTATTTAATCATTTAAATTTCCTTGTTGGGTAACAGAAAAGAATTTCTGTCCACAAGGCAATTAGCAGAAAACCAAAATTTCCTTAAAAATTATGCAAAAACTGGAGTTTGGCAAAAGTTCCAGAACTGTATGCTGTGAACTTGCTAAAGATAAAACAGGCCTGGTGTTTAGGAAGAAAACCTTCCTCTACAAAGTAGGGGTACGGATGCCGTGTCGTAAGTGAGGTCAGACAACAACTTTGAGGGCTCTCTTCTCTTTCCACCGTGCAGGCTCTAGAGACCGACCTCATGCCGGACTCAAGGACAGCTGCCTTTATCCACTGAGCCATCTTTCTCCCTCCACCCCCGTGACCTTGAAGCCCACACTGGCCTCAAACTCTTGATCTTCCAGCAGTGGGTTTCAAGTGCCAGGACACAGACATGCCACTACACTGAAGACATGCCACTACACTGAATCTATCCTATTCTTTGTTTGTTTTCTGAGACAGGGTTTCTCTGTGTTATAGCCTTGGCTGTCCTGGAACTAACTCGCAGAGATCCACCTGCCTCTGCCTCCTGAGTGCTGGGATTAAAGGTGTGCTGACACCTGGATATTTCGTTTTGTTTAAATCAGTACTAAACATAAGAAATATATTAAGCTATGTTTAGCAGTGCTTCATGAAATAAAAAAAAAGCGTTAAGAATTAAGCTGTAAGGTGCATGTTAAAAAGAAAAAGAAATTGAGAGATAGCTTTGAATTAAAAGGCAAGGGATAAAATAAATAAGCATGTATGAGCTTATCTAACAGATGGCTGGATGCCTACCCTCTTAAGAGTTGTAAATAATAAACATAACTCATAATTATTTTAGCTGGTACACTAGAGGAATGTAATTGGTTAAACAAAAATAGCTGGGAGAGAATAAGAATCACCTCTGACACTGCCACAAATAATCTATCTGTAATTTTTTTCCTACAAAATACTAAAAAACACAATGATCACCTCTTCTACTATATGCAAAAAGGTCTTTCAAGATAATTGCTAATTCTATCTAAAGATTTTCAAATATTTTAAATTAGCAGTAAAATATTCTAGAATACACAATTTAAGACAAAGTTATTGTCTAACTCTCCAAATAAGTTTATTATCAAGAATGCCAAAAAGTCCTTGATTCAAAAGCTAAAATAAGCAAGTGGAACTACAGCAAGCAATGTAACTATAAATTGATTCTCTAGTGTAAAAAATCATGGAATAAACTGAGAAACAGCAGAGTCAAATTATATCTTGTATTTATGAATCATTTAAAAATAATCCTACATAATCAAAGCAAAAAAGGCCATATAAAAGTATTTTCAAAGTACATACGCAAATCCAAATTCAAACACTGAAAAGCACAGTAAGCTCAAAGACACTGCTCTGTTCATCTGCTGTGAGCACCTACTTTCATCAAGCTGTCTGGAAGGTCTCTGTGACTAAGTGCACCTGATGAGTAGTTCTGTTCTCCTGAAATCAATCTATCATCTTGGCAAGAATCTCCTGGACTGGATGTCTGAGGATGCTTCAAATGAGGAAGGAAAAAAAGTAAACAAATAATATAATTTAAGATGTGAAACAAAACGATGACGATGCATGAACGAAGATTAAGAAAGAAATACTGCTAGATTACAGAATAAGGAGACTCAAGTCAGATACTGTAATCACTGCTCTCAGTTCCTTTAGCTTCCTTCAAAGACAGCCACTGTTAGCCTTTATGATATCTGCCATTTTAGTTGTACTTATACTCCTAACTTAATGGTTTAGCCAGTACATGTAGCCAGTGGTTAAAGCATTTCTCTCCAATTTTAAGAGCAACAAATATATTATTGTTAAGCACTAAAGAAAGTGTTTTTGATTAAAAGAAAATGAATTGGTATTGATTTGATCTCATGATACTACTCAGAACTCCTCTTGATTACAATAATGTGCAAAACCATTAAACCTACTGTGTAAAATTTGCTGTGCCATAATTCTGTCACATTAATACTGGCTCAATATTTTAAAGGCACTGTTTTAAAGAAATGCTTTAAAATTAACTAATTCATTCTCCATATGCTAAGTATTTGCTCATTACAGTTTAACTTAATGACAATCTTAGAGGAAAAATGCTAAATGTCATTATCCTTGATTATTTATTACTATAAATATGGCAGGAATAAAACATTTATATTCACCTTAAATTAATTCTAAGCACACTTAATTTAGAAAATAAAGCATAGTATGTTTTACTGTTACTTTTGATCTTTCAAAACAGTATATGCTTAGCAGCAAAGAAATATAAATTTTATATTGAAATATAACTCAAAATATACTCCATCATAATATACCATGGAACACATACAATTTTGAGGATTTGTAATTTAATCTTAAAAAATAATATTTGCAACAAACCTATCATGTCCAGTTAGTTGCTAGTTCAAAGTATGGCTTAGCATGATTTCATTTTTTTTTCTTGTGATATATATTTAGAATATATAGTCATCAACACAGCTCAAAGCTAGAAACTTAAACTCAAGCCTGAATAGACAACTATGCTTATGCACTCTTTAAAAAGAGCAAGCCTATCATGAATGAAAAACTAAAATTCAAAGTCTGTGTAGACTTTAAATCTAAGAGAAATAAAGGCAAAATATTATTGTAAAATAAATCTGGGAAGAACAATTGTTCCAGATGACTATGAATGGCAAAGATTCCTGAATTAATAAAAGCCACTCATGGTCTGCTGAAATGAAAGGCTGGCTCAGCCTTTTCTTCATCTTTTACACTAAGAAGCTCAAGGGCCGCTGTTGCTACAAAGCGAAAAGAAACAAGTAATGGCAGATGGCAGAACACAGGGCAAGACCAGCTCAGAGCAGTCACAGCAAACTGAGTCCAGGAAACTGCTCCTGCTCTAGAATCTAACAGGGAAGAGCCAAGGAGGGAGGCAGAAGCTGTCTGAGAAACAAGTGAAGCACCTAGAACAATCAAAGAGTCAAAATGGAAATAAATTATAAGATGGAATAAAATAAGGTTGTAGAGAAGAAAGGTCTTTGAGGGCAGAAGTGGACATTTATTTAGAGGCTGTGCTACCACTGTAAGTCCTTACTGAGCCACGGCAGACTTGTGTTGTTCATTTGGGGCAGTCCTTATAACTTACTCTTAAACTTTCATGATATAATAAATCTTTTACCACTAACGACCATGATGAAATGTGTTCAATTAAGATTTGGATTTTTCCTTTCTGTGGAACTTTTACAACTTCTGCAGTCTCATATTTAGTTATATTCAGTGAAATATGATTATACTTTGGTGCATATAATGATTTTTATTAGCTGGCTCTTAATTACTAGACTTATAAATAACCCCTGGCTAAATCATTAACTTATGACTAAAGACGTTGGAGACAGAAGTTGTAGAACTCAGCCATAAATAACCCAGAAAATACCAAGATTTCTAACTCACAGAACTTTTTCCCCTAGAAAGGTCGAAACACGTAAGACCTGAATTTTCTCATGTGTGTGCTAAAAGTACTAGCCTACTGTTGGTACTCACTCGAAAAATGTGCCCACCAGAACCTCTTCCGTCTGCAACACTCAGGGCAAGGCTGCCCTGGCTGCCATGCAGCTCCCTAGAGCTGCCATAGTGAGAACTGCTTACAGCAGCAAGAGTGGAGTTAAAGGACCTTGACAGCATACTCTGAGTGAAGAAAGGTAGAGTTACAGAAGATTAGTGCAGCATGCAAAACCCACAGACATGTTATGTACACAGATTTCTGTACAGGCAACCCCACCCATACCACGAACAAGTATCATGCAACACTGAATTCAGGGCCAGAAAGAAACTGATACATACATACAGCTATATAACAACACACATACACATAAAGAACATGTATAATCATAATGCTTAATCACATGCTTAAGGACCAAAGAAGTACAAACATATAGTTGCTTTTAATAACACTGTCATTTCCTTTATGCTTAATATATGTCTGAAATGGAAACCGAGCACATACTCAAGTGTGTGTTTATTTATATAAAGTTGTATATAAGCAAATTTCTCACCATCAGATGAATTTACCAGCAACCAGTAATTCTAAGTCAAATGAATTTCTAAAAGATTTATTTAATTCTACAGGAATTCTCTTATTAAATAATATCAACATTTAAACATATGTGCAACAGCAAAATGTCTTTGTGATAAACACCTGGTTATCATTTTCATTCTTTCAGAAACTTATTTTCCACATTTTGAAAAACATCTTAATTGCAGGATGTGATGTAACTTTTAAAAAGATTTTTTTATTTTTATTTATGTACATGTATACCCAGTATGTGAATGCCCATAGAGACCAGAAGAGGGCATCAGATCACGTGGAGTTGGAGTTATAAAAGGTATGAAGCACTTCACATAGGTGCTGGGAACAAAACTTGAGTTCTCTGTAGAGTGTCTGTCATTCTACAATTATCAATTCTAGGCATGTGTTAACAAAAATTTCCCATTCAAACAAATAGTTATTGCATCCTGCAGTTAGTGGTGGTCCAATGATAGTATCCTTCCTCAGTCTGGGTTTTTATGAAGACCCTTGTATTTGACCCAAGAATTTAAGATGCACCTTAATAAATACACTTCTGATTTTCATCATTCCTAGACTTATTATTAGCTGCTGTTTTTCAATGTGGATGGGGCTTGATGGCTAAAATAATGAAATTATATTTTAGGCATGGACTGCTATTAAAATAGAGAAATTTAATAATAACAACAAGCATTTACATATTATTCTTTTTTTAAATTTTTTTTATTATTTATTCTTTTTTAAAGATTCATTTATTTATTTTGTATGCAGCATGTATGACTACAGGTCAGAAAAGGGCACCAGATCTCATTATGGATGGTTGTGAGCCATCATGTGGTTGCTGGGAATTGAACTCGGGACCTCTGGAAGAGCAGTCAGTACTCTTAACCTCTGAGCCATCTCTCCAGCTCTACATATTACTCTTAAGAAATAAATACCTTCTCTAGATTTTGAAGTTGATAACTACTACCAAGAAATAACACGGGGGCTGGAGAGATGGCTCAGTGGTTAAGAGCACTGACTGCTCTTTCTGAGGTCCTGAGTTCAATTCCCAGGAACCACATGGTGGCTCACAACCATCTGTAATGAGATCTGGTACCCTCCTCTTCTGTCATGAAGACAGAACACTGTATACATAATAAATAAATCTAAAAAAGAAGAAAGAAAGAAAGAAAGAAAGAAAGAAAGAAAGAAAGAAAGAAAGAAAGAAAGAAAGAAAGAAAGAAAGAAGTAACACAAGCTTCCAAAAGGAAAAAAAGATCTATAAAATTACTACTCCTTGGTTATTTTGTGGATTCTAAGGTATTGATTTTAACATGTTAACTTGATTAAATGCTAGGCACAATATCCTACACACTGTTGTTCAATATTGCTTGCTGATAGTTATCTAAGAGCAAGAAAACAGGGCTGAGTACAAACTTCACTGTTAGCCAAACCTGAGAAGAGTGGTGCTCAACCTTCTTAATGCTGCAACTCTTAAATGCAGTGCCTCATGTTGTGGTGACCCATCCATAAAATTATTTTCATTGCTATTTCATTAACAGTAATATTGCTACTGTTATGAATCATAATGTAAGTATCTGATATGCAGCCCCCAAGGGGTTGTAACCACAGGTTGAGGACCACTGTCCTAGATGGATGCCTATCATCTAACAAGAATAAGTAAATTAGACAATTACCACTTTGATTTAATATAATGCGGTTTGGAGTACTTCATATCTGATTTTTTTATACAGGTAGGAATATCAGCAAATACTGGTATTAGTGATAATTCAACTCTGGCAGAAAAAGGGTTAGCTAGCCTTGAACTCACAGTGATCCACCTGCCTCTGCCTCCAGAGTGCTGGGATTAAAGGTATGTCACCACCACCCAGTTTAATTCCTTTCAAATTTCCCTTGTTAGTTTAATTAAGTCAGTGGTGAAATCTTCAGAGTAAAATCTGTTTTATGTGTTTGAATTCCCAGTACAGTTTTTTTAATGGATAAAGCAGAGGATTATAACTAAAAAGTCATAAACCCATATACTTCAATAAACTATTATCTTCTGTGCAAAGCAAAAAGTTCTAATACTTCAAAAGGTAAGGGAAGCATTTTCCCATGCTGTCTCCTCTACCACCTTGAATTACCATATGTGTAAGGAAGGAACAGGGGTCCTTTACTATTCTCCAACATCTTGAACTAATTCTTTGAAGTTTACAGTCTAAATCTTGTTGCTATTTAAGTAGCTAATTAGTAGCACCATTATGAAGTACTTATATTGCCTACATATGCTACTATTCTCACTAAGGAAAAACTGCCAGAGTACAGCAGTTTTTATTCTACAAATAAAAAAGGCAACTTTCAGAATCTTATGTAATGCTTTTAGAACATTTTGAACACAAGAAAATAAAGTACGTCTCTGTACTATAATAAAGGCTAGAAATAATTGCATGCCATATTATCACATCAAATTTAATTAACTCAAAACCAAGTAAGCTATAACTTGCCAAATCTCCGCACTGCATCACAATGCTTTAAAAACTCCATTCTCAAAACTATTAGGATTTTTTAAAAAAGTTGATATCAGGTACAGTTTTTAAATTTCTTTCTTTCATTCAAGACTAAAGGGTATTTTAGGTCAGTGAGGACACAAGTGCTTGTACTACCAAGCCTGACCCCAGGATCCCTGCAAGTTTTCCTCTGATGACTGTGTAGGCGCACGCACGCACGCACGCACGCACAATGTAATTAAAACATTTTTAAAAATTACATTAACATGTCTTTCAAGTTCATCTCTACAAAAGCCATAATCTTAAGTAAGGTATGAATCAATTCATGCTGAACACATTTGCCTGGGAAATCCTAAAATGCCTCTTCTATCATTATGAATCGTCAGTTCATTACAAAAAATGGCCTCCTATAATTCACTGTATCATACTGACAATTTCCTCCTGGGCCTTTAAAATGATTCCCTTCCTGCGACATAACACAGGTTATCCTGAGCTAGTTACTTAGCTGTTCTGACTCTCTGTGGCAAGATAAAGAACCATAGGCAACAAAGGCAAGTGGGGAGTTAGCGAGGGAGTCTTCCTCAGGGAAGAGCACACCAACTGATCGTCCAGTACCAAAGAGTCAGACATGAGGACATTCCTACAAGTAACATATCATAACACGAGAGGTTCTCTTTAAGAATAAACGTGTATACACAGATGCATACAATAACAAATTAAAAAAGAGGACAGAAATTTGAAAGAGTGGGAGGAGCACATGAGAGGAATGGAAGGGGGAACAGGAAGGGGAAAATTATCATTATATTATATATACATTATAATCTCAAAAGCAACTTTTAATGTGGCGATAACAGTATCTTAAGGTTCTGTGTAAGTTTAGAACTATTTTACACAGGCTATACTATGCCTCTTGGCACTGTGTGAGCACTAATAAACTTAACTGTTAGGACATTCTGTTTCTATAACTCAACCCACACACTATCAAATTTTCTCAAAAATAAATCCCTAATTCAGCCAAGGTGAAGACCTTGTCTCTCCCTGTTCTCAGCTTTCTTACCTGAGAAAAACGGTTCGTTTTTGAGACAGGGTATCATGTAGCTCCACACAGACCCTGAATTCCTTTCTCTACCCACCAAGTGCTATGATTAAAGAGGTGCACAGCTGATGAGAAAATTTAATATCTCTCCCTCCCTCGCTCCCTTTAGTCAGCTATGGTTTTAAATCCAGTTTCCCAGTTTCCTTTCTTACAAGTCTTCTATTTCATTAATCCGCTGAATTAACTGTTGGCTTTCAGGACACAACTATAAAACAACTGTCATATATTTTCTAAGAAACTGTGTATCAAATTTCTAAATACATATTTTACACAGTAGAAAACAAAAAAGTTAAAAGGCACATCCAACAATGAGCTAGATGCCATTTGCTTCATATTTATTGAAGTCCAGACACACCCCTATCAAACAGAATAGTGGGAGAATCAGCCAATTATGATGTAAACTACACCAAATAAAAACCTTCCTCTGTACCCACATCCCCTCCTTCCTCTCCAGTAATAGTGGAATTCCCAACAGCCCACTTAGGCAAAGTACAAGCCTTCACGTTTTGTCCCTTATCCACAGTGACTAATTATAGGAATATTCCACTAGAAACCATCCTGAGGATGTCTACTTCCAAAGTCTCTTGAATTCATTCCTGTATCTCAGTCCTACTGATAAACACCTCATGCATTCTCACCCGAGTCTCTGAACAGCCTCTTTGACAAGAGTTTTTTCTTCTAAAATCCACTTCTACACGTACAACACAAGTTTATTATAAATGAGAGCCACGTTCCTCCTTATCTCAGATTAAGAATTTTCAAATTCCCAGCAAAATGAATACAAATTCAAACAGCCTCAACAGCGTGTTAGAGTTATAGCAAAGAGGAAAGATGAAGTAGCTACAGCTAACAGATGTTAGCTAAAAAACTAACAATTACAGGCTGAGATTTAATACAACTGGATTGAAGGTAATAATCATACTCTATGTATTTTTTTAAAAAATTAAAGAATTTAGAAAACAATAGACTAGATATGTTCAGCTGTATTTTAAAATATTATATATTTAATAAATGGAGAAATGGTAACTTTGAAAATAAAACCCAAGAGAGATAGATAAAGCTGAGTCTGAACAAAAAAATCTTTGGGTGGGAGTGGGAAGGGAAACAAGGTCTATGTATCCCAGGCTGGCTTCAAACTGGTAATCCTCCTGCAGTACTAAGTACTACAGTTACAGGTGTGTGTCACCATGCGGGACTCAGGATTCTATTTACACATTTGGGCCACTGTCAATGTACCTTTCCAAAGACACAGCTTTACAAATAAGGTGAGGAGAGGAGACAAGCATCAGTCACCTTACCAACATTCCCAAGCTGCATTATAGCCCCCCCAACACTCAAGTGAGCTGTTCACGTACATCAGAAACGCAGTCCAGCCAAGTCAAGAATAAATGCCATGCCAGAGTCATCCGTGTCAGTGATGATGTTAGTTTATTTAATATAGACTGGAGAAAAGGGGTTCTGATGAAATATTTACCCGTGCAGATGTATTTCCTGTATTTTTAGTAATTATACAGTAAACTGATATTGTCTTACAATATTTACATAATCATCACTGGTAGTGATCAGTTCAGAAAACGCTGACCATGCTTGTGTATATGTATTGTATCTAGTATGCATGTGCAGGTTAAAAGAGACACACGCATAAGGAGACAACATGACTACCAGAGACTTTGAGGAGTAAGAAAGCAGCGTGCACACCCATCTCACTTGTCCTAGCTTAAGGTTAAATTTAGAACTCTGTTCCAGCAACAGGGAAAAACACCTAGATTGTAAATAGAAAAAATTCAGACTGACTTATTTCACTGATTAAAACAAAGGATGAACCATTTCTAAGGAAAAATAAATAAATTCAGAAAGGGAGTAAAAAAACATGATCAGTTACCTTTTCTAACTTTTTGGCCTCAATATGTCGAAGTACTTGTTCTCGCCAGTCATGAGGAACTTTACTTTTTCCTGGAGGATCTAATAAAGAATGTTCAGAACCAACCCTTGCATTTGGTCTTTTAGAAGGACTAGTCCTTGAGTAATTGAAGTCACTAACTGACATAGTTCTCTCTGGTATTTCGTTAACAGAGGGGCGGGCACTCTGAGGCCTCGAAGTATTTGGGCCATCAATGCTGTATGCTCGTGCAGAAAGAGGTCTCTGTGATCCTGACATCATTGGTGTTCTTCCCACTGAATGTAACTCTCTGTATGATAAATAATCTCCTTCAGAAATTTGAGTACGCCTCGTGAGACCAGGATCACCAAGATTTATAGAAGCTGTTGAAGACACACTACTCTGTCGCTGAACTGCCGTCCGAGTTCCTGTTGGAACTAGCCGGTCATTTGGGGAGATAGCCCACATTTCTCCATGTCTGGCTGGAGCAAGTCTCTGATGTAAATGGTATGCAGTATTGGCTCTAACATTGTTATGGTTAGAGAAATTCATATTGGCAGAATGCTTTGCATAACTGTGATTTTCTGCGCTCTCTGATCTAGGAAGGCGCTGAGGAGGAAAACTGACAGGATCTAGTTGTGAATTCTGTTTAGGGTGCCACAGACTGTCTTTGACTGCAGCAGTGCCACTGTACTGGACATTATACTGCGGAGGGCCACAGAGCTGAGGTGTAGACTGGGGGCCAGTTACTGTGGGGGTTCTTATTATATCTGGCTCTTCAGGGTTGTGATTTGAATCAAACCTGAACAGCGTCTTTGTACCCGCCATTAGGTCAGAAGATGAGGAAGAAGCGGCGAACACCTGCAGGGGCTGGTCATACAGCAGTGTGGCAGACTTGCTCCTCACTATGTTTTTCCCATCCGCGGCGGAGGTGACTTTAACTGCTGCACTTGGTGCCTGAGGATCGTCATCACTAAGAATGTCATAGATCTTTAGGCCTCCAGTCTCCATGTTCGTTATACTATGAGATTTCACGACAGATCCGACTGGACCACTTCTCTGAGGGGAGAGATCTTCAGTGCTTTTAGAAATACTCACGTCAGCAGAACTGGAGTTCTGTGGTTCAATCCCACTGGCAGACTGTGCAACTTCCTCAGAAAGACCATTTATCTTATTTATGAATTCCAAATTCGGATACTTATTTCCATTTTCTGTGTGCCGAGCTTCACTTTGAGAATGACTACTTAAAAAGCCTGTATCCTGTGTCTTTGATCTTTCCTTTATTTCTGGCTGGAACGTATTATTTGTCACAAGTTTATTAAGATTCATGTTGATATGGTCTAACTGGTGAGATTCATCAGATGTGACTTTTGAGTCATCTTTTTCAATCAGAACTAATCGCTCTTCAATATTCAATTCATATTCAGGCAACTTAAAATCCTTTTTATCATTAACTTTGAATTTTTCTTCTGGTGAACTGTTTAAAACATCTCCATTTTGTAAAAGGCTGTTAAAATTTTCATCTTCTTGCCTAAAATAAAATAATTTTATAAGAAAGTAATAAAGACAAGTTTTCTTGGTAACAGAGTCATTAATAACTATTTGATATGCAGTGAACACAAGTTAAATAATTGATGGAGTGCCAGATGAAGACCTTAATTATAATATACAAATATTAAAACATCATTATAACCTACTGATATGTACAAGTTTTGTGTTTTTATATCAGTTAAAATTACAGTTAAATAAAGAACTTTGTCAAGTAGTAGAATTACATTGTTAGAAAAAGAAGTAAAACAGCTAAAAGTCATCAACAATATCAAGATTAATGCTGTGGAGTAATCCTTTTGGACTGTACAGATTTGTCACTCAAACTGGTTTAATAAAAAGCTGACTTGCCGGTAGCCAGGCAGGAAGTATAGGTGGAACAACCAAACTAAGGATGATGGGATGAAGAAGGGCAGAGTCAGAGGAGATGCCAGCAGATGCAGAGGAAGCAGGATATATAGGAAATGAGGTATCAAGCCATGAGCCACATGGCAGAGGGTAGAAAGAAATATGGGTTCGTTTAAAATGTAAGAATTAGCTAGTAACAAGCCTGAACTGTTGGCCGACCACTTATAATATTAAGTCTCTGTGCTGGTTATTTGGGAAGCAACCTCAGGGACACAGGAAAACTCTGCCAACAGATTAAGTTTCATCACAATGTTCAATCAAACTTCTTACAAAGTAGGTTACTAGGGCTAAGCTAAGAACACGAACAGAATGGTGTATCTTCTGTCTTGTTTCCCAAATGTGGGAAAGCTACATTGAGAGTCAGAGAGTAACTTGAGTGATGAAGTAAATGGCATAGGACTATTTCACAAGTAATTCTGAAGCTTTACATTACCTGCATTAATAATAGGCTACCATTCTTAACAAGTGATTATTTAATCCAAATATATAAACAATTAAGTTAAACTAAATCCAAATATATAAACAATTAAGTTAAACTAAAACAAATAACTACATAAACACCTAAGTTCATAAAGGGACCAAAAGAGAAACTACATAATCATTACTCAGTGGTACAAAGTTATTTGGCAAATATTTCATAAATGTGTCATTCTAAAACTATAGAAAATATTTTATTTCTACTGGGTGGTACAGAACAGAGATATCTAGTCCTTGGCACTACACTAAAATTGCAGTTATTAAAAAAGCATATAAAATGTACCCTATACTCCTTGTTCAATACTTTGTTATATAAAAGGATGACTTATACCATACTACTTTCCAACAGTAACATTAGGAAAGTTTTATATTTCAACAAATTAACCATTTTCTTTAACATGGAAGGGATTATAAAATCAGCAGTCTACTAAGCCTATAATATAAAATTAAGAGAACGGGGGCTGGAGAGATGGCTCAGAGGTTAAGAGCACTGCTTGCTCTTCCAAAGGTCCTGAGTTCAATTCCCAGCAACCACATGGTGGCTCACAGCCATCTGTAATGAGATCTGGTGCCCTCTTCTGTGGGGATATGTACAGACAGAACAATGTATACATAATAAATAAAAAAATCTTTTAAAAAAAAATTAAGAGAACGGATTATATAATATTTGAAATCATATTCAGACAGAATATTAGTATTCTTTTTACAGTAAGTCAAGAACAGTTTTTATTTAAATATTTGAAATCATATTCAGGCAGAATATTAGTATTCTTTTTACAGTAAGTCAAGAACAGTTTTTACCTAAATATGTCTGCAAGTTAAGAACAGTTTAACTCTAGTCATGATTTAAAATACCTGTAAAACCAGAATGTGGTTCAGTAGCAGCCTAAATCTTTCCCTCAAGTAGACTTCTAGCTTACAGACTGAATCCACAGTTGAACGGCATTGTCTTGTTTTGATCTAACTGTCATAACCAAGTTCCCCCCCCCCCCACAAGACAAGGTTTTTCTGTGTAGCTTAGCTCTGTAGACCATCCTGCTGCCCTTGAACTCACAGAGATCCTCCTGCCTCTGCCTCTCAAGTGTCTGGACTAAAGATGACCAAGTTTCTTGAAAGCTTAAATAATAAAATGACTTTTAAACTTCTACTGAACCCGGGGTAAAAGACTTTAAGTTTACATACAGCTTTCTTTCAAAAGAGTTTTCCTAACAAAATTGAGGACAATATATAGCACCACACAAGAGTATCTGAATGAATCCTCAATGGCACCTCCTTAGAATGGCCCAGCATTTCTATGGTGTCTGAATGAGACATGCCCCACATAGGCTCAGGTGTGAGGGCACTTGGTCTCTCTCTAGTCAATGATGCTATTTGGGGGAACTTTAGGGCGTGAGGTCTTGCCAAAAGAAGCATGTTATTAGGGACCAGCTTTAAGAGTTTATAGCCTTGCCTCATTTCCAATTTGCTCTCTGCTTTCTAGCTTTGGTTAGAGATGTGATCTCTCAGCTGCCTGTTGCCATGACTCTCCCCAACCATTAAAGACTCTCCCTTAGGAACCATAAACACAAATAAACTTTTCCCCACACATCCTGTTTGGTCGTGGTATTTTATCACAGCAACAACAAGAAGATGGCACCAGGGAGTTGGTGGCTGTACAGAATCTGACCAGGTTGTTCCTGGAGGACCGTGGCGAACTGTTGAAGGCCATAGTAAAAATGAAGCAGAGTTTAAGGTCATTCATTCATTCTAGTAGACACCTGGAGACAGCAGTGCTGGAAGTGCTGAGTAGGGGAGAGGCCCTGCTCAGGAGCGTCTTAGCAACTGTGCAACTGGCCATCCGATGGCAGGCTGGCAGAGAATGTGGCTGCCTTCTCTGTCCTAAGAGCTTGCCTGATGCTAAACTAAGTAATATGCAGCTACGGCTATGTACGCCTCTTATTCCAGTAGAAGGAAGGCTGAAGCAGGAGGATCTCTGTGAGTTCAAGGCTAGCCAGGATTATGTGGTAAGATTCTATCTAAAAACAAAACAAAAGTAATGAACTAATTTCTTTGGGGCATGAAATTTCAAGATAGTATGATGTTCAATCTCTGGCATAGTTACTATTGATTAATATTTATACAAATCTATAATGAGAAACAACAAATATAACAAAAGAAATGAAAAATGTACTGTTTGATGAGAATAGAACACCAGAAAAGTTAATATTACGGACAATGCAAGTGCTAGAAAAGGGAATGCAATTGTTCTAGAGATAGCACCATTAAGGACAGTGCCCTGCTCTGCACCAGAATAACAAGAAAGGTGCCTTCAGGGCAAGACCCCACTCAGCGAGCCTTCCAACTCAGGAAAGAAACCTAAGAGGTTTTCTGCTCCCAGAAAGCAACTGCTTAACATATAAAAGATGCTACTAATGTGGAATGAGGCATCTAGGGCCCATCTCAAGCTGTTCATTTAACTTGCCAATGCTATCCATGACATGAAAATGTAAGAGTCAGGTGGCCATGGATTCCTCCTATATAGTTTCAGAGAGCCACTGAGGACAGGCAAAGTTTGGCAAGGCTGGAGTTGCTGTGAAAGGGCCATGAGAAGCCATTTCATCAAACTTTGAAAGCAAAGCCTGGTTGCAGTAGAAACTGTTAGACACACCAGAATCACGAGACATCTGCCAAGAGCCGATTATAGAGAGACGTATACAGAAAGATGTGTGCACAGGCCACAGAGCTAGACACGCAGAACTTGACACTGGACACGGAGTTGTAGGATTTGGAGTACGCTCTGCTGAGTTTTGGTCTTGCTTTGGTTCAGTATTCCCTCACTATGTCCTCAGTCCTCCCTTTTAGAATGGCATTGTATATTCCATGCCACAGTATGCTGGAAGTATACTTTTTTTTTTAGACTTTATAGGTTGGAATGTCACAGTTAAGAGATTGTGTTGAGCCAGCCTGGGCTACCAAGTGAGTTCCAGGAAAGGCGCAAAGCTACACAGAGAAACCCTGTCTCGAAAAACCAAAAAGAGATTGTGTTGAGTCTCCAAAGAGACTTCAGACTTTTGAATTGTGTTAAGACTGTTAAAGACCATGAGAATGTTAAACACTGACTTAAATGCACTCTACATTACGATATGGCCGTGAGCCTATGGCCGACAGGGAATGGAGCACTGCTAGATCACTAGGAGTGGGCTTGAGAATTTATAGCTTCACCCCACTGCCAGTTTGACCCCTGCTTTCTGCATATGGTTGGAGGTATGATCTCTCAGCTTCCTACTCCAGCTGCCTACTGCCATGCTTCCCTAACCATTATAGACGCTCCCTCTGGAGCTGTAAGCCAAAAAAACTACTTCTTCCATAAGTTGCTTTTGGTCATGGCATTTTATCATAGCAACAGAATGTAATTAACAGGATTTCTAAGGATTAAAAAAAAAAACTTTCAATCTGAACTTCCTCAAATTGGCTGTTTATATGTTCTAACACCTTGAAATACTTATATTTGTTCATTTCACCTAGAGATTAAGAATCTACTATATTTTATTGTTACTTTCTCAACTAAAAAAAAGCTATTTTAAAATAGAACTGTATAACCACTAATCAATCAGTTTCAAAATGGAAGAAATATATTACCTAAGTCACTTGCATAATATTTGTGAAAACACTTATGTTTGGCCCTATATTTATTATTTGTATTATTACTCCTATTTATTATGTAAGTAAATAATCTTATTAAATATTCACAAACCTGATTTTGGAGTTACTATCGATAGGTGTTTGCTTCACTGGAGAACAGAGTGAGGTGTCTTGACTACTGTCAGTATTCAGAGAAACTGAGTCAGACATCCGAGACGGAGAAGAACAGTTGCTGTTATTCTGATTGCTATTGTGTGTGACTTCATCTGATAAAGAATCTGTATCCTTTGCATCATCTGAAACAACAACAGAATATTTAAGAGCAATAATAAATTTATTAATAATTAATGGAAAGTTTTTGTATTGATTCTATCTACAACGTGATAAGTAGATAAGATAATGAGAGGCATCTCTGAAAATTAAATCCTAAATATATACAAAAATTAAAGAATTTTAAAGTAGTGGTATCATTTTTTTTAATGCAATCAAAGTTAAGGGTACCTAAGATTTGATTTAGCTTACTGATAAAATGATGGACAGTTTTCAAAGGCTACTTATTCATTTTGGTGAACATTCTTCCTATTTTAAGAACTCGTAATAAAAATATACTTAATCGTTCACAATCTCCCTATAGTTTATCTGGGTAACACATATGCACATGGAATTTCTTCAATTTATTTTGATAATAAAATTGAGCAATGTAACCAATACATAAATAAAATGAATGATTTTCACAGGTCAGTTCCCTTATGTCAGACAAATGTTTAAAAATTTATTTTTATATTTATATCTATGTATGCATGTGTATTTGAGTAAAATATCCACAGAGGTCAGAGGTATCATTTCCCCTGGAGCGGAAGTTACAAAGTGAGCCACCGTACATGAGTGCTGGGAACCAAACATGGGTCCTCTGTATTTCTCCAATCTCAAAGAACTGCTTATAAAGTGGTAATCTCTCAGTATGTGAGGGGCTGTTTATCTAACAAAGAAACAAAACAAAACAAACCAGTATTTCCATTCCACTAAGGCATAAGTGTAAAAAGCAGTTTTGAAAACAGTCATAAAAAAGCTCTTTTTAAAAAACTCAATTCTAGGCAAATCAAGGAATTAGTATACCCAGACATAGCCATAGAGCAGCATATGAATGGAAGGTATATTTGTTTTTCTTACAAGCTTGGCTCAAATGGTCTAGTAATCCCAACCTCAAGGTACCTGAGTCTTGGTTTCTTTCTTTTCTTTTTTTCTTTTTCTATTTTTTTTGTTTGTTTGTTTTTGTTTTTGTTTCTTGTGACAGGGTTTCTCTGTATAGCTTTGCACCTTTCCTGGAACTCACTCTGTAGCCCAGGCTGGCCTTGAACTCACAGAGATCCGCCGGCCTCTGCCTCCCAAGTGCTGGGATTAAAGTAAAGGCGTGTGCCACCACCGCCTGGCTCAAGTCTTGGTTTCTTAATTTATAAATATACCATTAGATTGCCTTTGAAGTCCTTTTTATGGGGCTATTATGACACCCAACTGTTTAGCACAGTAGTATACCTAAGCAACTGGTAAATAAAGTATTCAATAGTTTCTAAGTATCGTTATAAAGCATCATGGTAATATCACTAGTGCTATGAAGGCAACAGCCTGGATAAGCACTTGGTAGAGATAATGCAAAGCTAATCAGCCACTAGTTGTAAGAGGTGTGTGTGACAAGATATGCGTTCGTTACAAATTACTTCATTTCTAAGAGTCTAATATTGTCTTATATGAAAATTAGTTGGCAAAAACTGGGGAAGAGGGCTTAATACCATTCTGGAATAGGTAAGAATAAAATAATATGCATCTAATACATATCAGGTACTATGTTATGTATTTTATGTAAAATCCTTCATGAGCCTCATTGTAATTCAAATTTGTCCTGTATACATGGGATAAAATTAAGCAAACAAGGATAACATATTTAGAAGATGAGCAACAGAAATGGAATTATAATTATTTCCCTTTAATGTCCATGCCCTTACAAACAAAGTCTGCATGGGAGTGGGGAGGACCTACTGATATCTTTCTTTAAAAATGGGAAATAAGGGGCTGGAGAGATGGCTCAGAGGTTAAGAGCACTGACTGCTCTTCCAGAGGTCCTGAGTTCAATTCCCAGCAAACACATGGTGGCTCACAACCATCTGTAATGAGATCTGGTGCCCTCTTCTTCTGGCCTGCAGTCATATATGCTGTATACATAATAAATATAAAAAAAAGTTTATTAAAAAAAAAATCTTCAAAAAAAATGGGAAATAAGAAGAACATTTTGGAATGGCAGTTTTAAATTTTGTTTTCAAAACGTTGCAATAATGTGACATTCAATAAAATTTATTCCCACAGAATGAATACATCTTATTTACACCATCTCTAGTGCTAATGCTTCCCCTTCAACGTCTAACCTTTTTTGTTATTACTAAGTGCTACAACTTTGGGTTGGTTAATCGAGGTTTCAATTAACGGGGGTCGCATCTCTGCCATTTTCATTTCTTCATCAGAAGAAAGTTCTTCAGATTCCTAGCATAAGGAAAAAGGGGGAAATAGAAACATTAAACTTTGGACTTTGTAAATGAATAAATACACCATAAAAACCGCAGGGAAAACAAAGTATATCACTACGAACATGTATGAGACTGCTTTTTAATGGTAATAGTGGACAAAAATCTGCATGACTTCACTCTTTCAAGTACAACAATAAACTACAGCAGTTATTAACAACATATTAACATATTTATGGTATCATTTTTGAAGCTATAATAGTTACTGTGTGTCAGAGTTATGTGAGGTTATAGGCAGGCAAAAATGAGCAAAACACAGTCCTGTCTTTGAAAGAGTCAGGTTATAGAGTCCCTCACCAGAGTCTCTCCCTAATTGTCAAGTTTAGTCTCTTAAGTATACTTAGCTTCTAAGGTATCTTCTAGGATGGACTGCTATCAATGTGAATTTGAAAACGGGACTGTTACTGTCCATGTTTATTACAACCAATACACCACCAATTGTTCCAGATTACCTACTACTGAGTAGTGTCAGCAAAGAAAATAACTTGCTAACAACTATTAATAGAAAGATTTTGATATCATATGGTATGCATGAAATCAGATCTCTTGCTGTTTAAATCATTCCTAGGTACTAAGATGAAACTAAAGCAAATTCTTTACATAACTTGTTCCCCTGACAAAGAATAAAACCAAACAGTACTAAGGACTTTTATGTCTTTATAAGTGCCATAATAAAAGTATGAATAGTGGAGATGGTGCTGTAATTAAGAGCACTTGCTGCTCTTACAGAGGATACAGGTTTACTTTCCACCACTCACATGGCAGCTCCAGTTCTTGGCACACAAAAATACTGTCTATTGTAATGAAATAGTTTGCCGATCTCTATTCATATCTTTAAAGATGTACTTATTTTTGTTGTGTATGCATGGGTGTTTTGCCTGTTTGTATGTCTGTGTACCATGTGTGTGCAAAACCCATGGAGGCCAGAAGAGGGTGTTGGAGCCTCTGGAACTGGAGTTTAGAGGAGTCACCATGGAGTCCCAGCTAGGAATGGTCATTCACATCTATAAACCCAGCACGTAAGAGGCTGGTGTAGGAGAAATACCCCATGTTATAGCGACATGGGCTGCACAGGGAGCTCCACACCCTCTGGGCTACAAAGTGAGATCAAGTCTCAAGAAGTTTAGAGTTCCATGTATGTTTACAATCTCATTTACACCTGAGATGTACACATTCAATAGGATATTATTCAGCCACAGGGATAAGATGCATTACTGAGAGATATCACAATGAAATTCAAGACAATATGCTAAGTGAAAGAAATTATAAAAGACCACATATTAGGCCATTGAGATGGCTCAGTGGGCACTTCTCTGTATTAAACAATACAAAACAAAACCAAAAACCTCTTAAGTGTATGGTTTCATTTATTCAAAATACCAAGGACAAGCAAAGTAGGTATTAGTTGCTTAAAGTTGAGGGGGATGCAGAGCTTGAAGAGGGACAGAAGTATGAGATTTCTTTTTCTTCCTGTGGTTGTAAAAATACTCTGCTAGGAACTGTGGACTGGCTTTACAACTTTGTAAATTGTTTAAGCCACTGAATTATATGCTTTGAATCAGTAAACTGTGTAGGGTTTGATATCTCTCAATAAAACCTTTAAAAGAAGTTCTATAGCTTTTACTTATTCAATATGAGAAATTACATCTACATTCTTAGACACTGAACAAGAGTAACACATTCAATGATGAATGCTTACATAAGCAAAATGATTGAGGATAGATGTAACAGCCATTTTCTGTTGTTCAGGTTTTTGTCTGTTTGGTTTTTTTTTTTTTTTTGCACAGTGCTAGGGATGGATTCCAGGGCTGTACGCAAGCTAGGAAAGTGCTCTGCTACTGACCTACGTCTTTAACTTTTCATTTTGATGTTACAGAAACAAAAGCAAGGGCTGGGAAGGTAGATGAGAGGTAGAACATGGACCTGTTATAGACAATGAACTTGAGCTTGATACCCATTATCACAAAAATAAAGAAATAAAAGTAATTGTAATTATTCATTTTATATAACACATCATAATCTAATTTACCTATAAGTCATTTACTCACAAGTACAAAAATTTTAAGTTTAAAGTGATATATTTCAGCAGCGTGAAATTTTTCAAGGATTGCAGTATTTTCTGTAATCATACTATTAGGTTCCTATTGTTAACATTAATGAAATGTTAAATTGGAAACTCTTATGATTATGTCGTAATGAAGTCATACCTCAAACACATCATCATGGTTGACAATATGCTTCAGGTTCCCAGAGACTTTCCTGTTTGCAGTCACTGGTACGTTTCCAGGGCTGGCCTCAGCCTCAGGCTCACTCATCTTCTGTACAGAATTCATACACTCTTCTCTTTCATCAAGTTTGCTTTTCACTGTAGTACTTTCTGAAGCCTGCATAAAAGATAAAGACCGCATATGCTTTATGTCTAGTTTTGTATTAAGTATTACATAAAATTTAAGCAATACATCAGCTTCCAATTCTAAAATAATATTAAAGAAAATGTGGCCAACCAGTGGTGGCAAACGCCTTTAATCCCAGCACTCAGGAGGCAGAGGCAGGCGGATCTCTGAGTTTGAGACCAACCTGGTCCACAGAGTGAGTTCCAGGACAATCAGGACTGTTTCACAGAGGAACCTTTTCTTGAAAAACCAAAAGGAAAAAAAAAAATAAGGAAGGAAGGAAGGAAGGAAGGAAGGAGGGAGGGAGGGAGGGAGGGAGGGAGGGAGGGAGGGAGGGAAGGATGAATGGATGGATGGATGAAGGGTGAACATGTAAATTAGAATCACAGATAAAATGTTTATTTGGAGGGCAGATGGCCCATAGGGAGCCATGATTATATTGAAATACATAATTTAGCAAAAGTTACTTTTCCTCTAGAAGACCGGTATCAAGTGAGTCAGTTAATAAATTATTTTTGCCTTCTGTGGAATTCACAGTGACTCTAATGACATCACAAAACTTTTATTTGGGGGGTGGGCAGCACTGAGAAAATTCTGAAACGTTCCAAGGAAATGTCAAATGTCTGCAAGAGAAATTAATTGAAAATCAGAATAAAGTGGACCAGTATCATCAAACTAGGAGGGAAGAGTATTTCCAGAATAGCTCTCTGACAATCATTATATCTTATTATTTGTTCAGGTAATGACTCTCTAAAGGCTTTCTTGACACAATCCGGATGAACTAGACATTCTGTAGTGAGAGAAACAGAAGATGAGGAACTGGGGAATTCAAAAAGTTAATTTACAGTTTAGCCATCTGAGAACAAAACTACAAATTAAGTAATATATAATTTAGATCATCGCATCAATTGTCTCAATTTTGAGGTAACCTCAAATATTTTACATCATTACTTGGAATTGAGTTTCTAACCTTCACACCCATATCCTTATTTACAACTTGCTGATCTTCATGCTTCATATCTCTCCCAGATTCGTCATTAGTCTCTTCATCTTTTAATCTATGTACAATGGTTTGAACAGTCTTGACCATGTTCTTAAGCTCATCTGGGTATGGTGTTGGATATCTCTTTAAGTTTCCCTCCTAGAGAAATAGAGAAACACTAAGTATTAGTATTTCTAACATGAATCTCAGAACTAAATGTATAACCCATCTGAAGTTCATGCTCAGCTCACAGGAACAGTGAAGAGATTACGGATTTATAGAAATTCTGTTTTCCCTTATATTTATTCAGTTGTTTTGTTTGGTTTTCTCTTTCTCTCAGTGCTGGGGATCAAACTCTGGGCCTTTACATGATAGACAAGAGCTCCACCACTGAGTTATATTTCTTCTCAAAATGTACCTTTTAATGGCACTTTTGTAATGCTCTGTAATGCTCTCAAATTTTTTCATAGGTGAAACAATTCGGTTTAGTAAGTGCTTTGAGGGTACGCAATGAATCCAGTCCTTCTCTGTAGCCACAAACAGCACACTGTAGGTAGGTATACAGCACAAACTTCAGTCAGCACACCCGGAAAAAAATGACAGACTCACCCTGGGGGGCGCTTCTCTTTCATCTTTGTCCTCATCACATTCAAATGCCACTTGGGCCCTCTGCTTCCTCTGTTCTTCCCACAATGCAGGATTAAAACTTTCATTATCTGATATGAACATAACTAGAGGAAAGTAGAAGAAAAACGACTATATTTTACAATAATCACAGAAAACTATTATTTACTCATAACCTGCATTGTAAAAACCAGTCAGTGGCAGTTAAAACTGGTCTAGGATAACAGCAACAAATTCCAGGGATTGGTTTTAACAGGCTTTGGTTCTAACAGGCTTTGGTTTTAAGATTTCTTTACCACAACCACTGCAACTTTTATTTCCCGGAAGCCAATTGGGTTTTTGTTACTAGAAGGATTCATGAAGTTGCTAATTTAAACACTACAAATACATAGGTTTTGTGTAGGACCCTACAAATTTTAAGATAGCAAGGCTACCACATCTTCCAATTTTAGAATTCTTTTTAACATTAATAGTCCAATAAGCATGGAGGAAGAAAAGAGTTCAATGGCAGAGTAAGTTATTTTGCTAAAAAAATAAAATGGGCTGGAGCAATGGCTCAGCTGTCAAGAGCACTGATTGTTGTTCTTCCAGAGGACCCAGGTTCAATTCCCAGCACCCACATGGCAGCTCACAACTGTCTGTAACTCCTGCCCCTGGATCTGACTTTCTCACATAGATATTCAGGCAGAATACTACCAATGTACGTAAAATAAATTTAACAATGAATTACTTTGGTGATATCTTTGTATTATGCATTATAAACAATATCAATTACACTACGTAAATAAAAATACACTTTCCACATAAAAATGTAAGGAAAATTTACATTTAACACAAACTCAATCTTTCTCTACCCAATCAGATATAATGTTAAAACTTCAAAGACATATATAGGTTTTCTGGAATAGCTTAAAATAATTCTTTCAAGCTGGGTATGGTAGTCACACCTTTAATCCCAATACTTGGGAAACAGAGGCAGGTGGATGTCTGTGAATTCCAGGACAGCCTGGGCTGTTATATACAGAAACTCAACCAACCAACCAACAAGATTCATTCAACAATTATACAAAAGTTATACAACGCAAAACAAAGTCAAGACTTTTGCCCATAAAAAATGTTGAATCTTACTCAAAACACACACACACACACACACACACACACACACACACACACACACACACACACCAAACAAAATACCAAACAAACAAATACCAAAATACCAAACATACCAAATACCAAACATAACAAATACCAAATACCAAACATAACAAATACCAAAATACCAAAATACCAAACAAACAAACAAACAAAAAACCATCCACCCACACAACAACAACAAAAACCAAAAAACTAACCCTGGAGATCTTCAATCACCCAAATATGGCCAATGTAAATATGTGTGCAAAATAGCATAATTCTCAAAATTCCAAATTATGACTTACACCAAATCCTTGTTTGGGTTTTCTTTGTTAATTACATGTTCATACTAAAAATGCCACAAAACAAATAGGAACAATAGGAACGACATTGTGTGTGTGTGTGTCGTTTTATTTCTTGTAACGTGTTTTGTTTTAAAGACTGGGCCCCCAATTCAGTATGTAGCTGAGGATGACCTTAATTCCTGATCCTCCCATCTCTACTCCCCAAGTGCCAAGATTACAGGCTGGTGATTTAATACAGGGTTTCTTGTATTCTAGACAAGCACTCTACAACCGAGTCACATCCCCAGACCACTGAGTGCTAGTTTTAAAACAGGGTCTCATAATACAGCCTGGGCTGGCCTCTCTAACTTGCAGTGCCCTGCTTTGGTTTTCTGAGTACTGGAATTATATATATGTTTTTATTTTCTTGACTCAGTTCAAGATTTTTGTTTTAACTGTTTTCGTGAGTTGTTCAGTATTTATTTAACAGATTATTTCTGTTTAAACAAATGTGGAATATGGTTCAAATTGTTGAAATCTCCATGGTATCATTAGAAAGGTAAGAGATGTACTTTAGTTGGCACAATGACCCCCGAGTTCAATCTCTAGAACTAAATGGGCCCATATGCCAGACAGAGTAGCACTATGCCTGCAATCAAAGCACTGGGAAGGAGAGGCAAAACATCAGACATTCAAGCTCACTCTCATACACAGAGCGGGATGGATGCCAACCAGGTCTACAGAAGACCCTGGCCCAGAAGACAAAAAGAGGCAGCTGCAGCAAGGCAGTTTTCAACAGTCTGTTTTTAGGATTCATGTAAATAACTCATTTAGGTTTGGTAGTAATTTTTTAAAACTTCTACTGTCATTAGAGTGTGTGTGTGTGTGTGTGTGTGTGTGTGTGTGTGTGTGTGTGTGTGTGTAAAGGCAATTTTGTGGGTTATTTCCCTCCTTCCACCTTGACATGGATTCTGAGGATGAAGCTTTGATTACCATGCTTGGCAAGTACTTTGACTCACTGAGCCATGCTGACAGCCCTTGAGGAGCAACCGCAATCACCAGCCAGACTCAAAACGCTTAAGAGCTAGAGCAATTTTATACAAGAATGTATTCGGTATCCCAGAGTTTGTAACTCGGACTATAGCTCTCATTCTCAATAGCTACTGGTTAATTACATTTCTAAGTATTTTGAAGAAATGCCTTACCTTTGACGGTTCAGGGTACCAGGTAATGTTATTTGCTACCCTTACTTACTTCAGAGTCTAACAAATCTGAATGCTGAGGCACACTCATTCAACACTCTAGTATCTGACGACAGGTCTTCTTTTTCAAGACTCGCCATATCCTGAGTAATGCAAATGTCTGATGATGCCACCCTACTCTATAATTTTATAGTTCCTAGACATCTTCAATCCCAGTGTGAATCTTCATGTCCACTGAGGGATTCATAGCCATGCTCATACTCACAGCGTTCCCGCCTTTGTCACTGTGCCCTCCTCCTAAACAGTAAGTCACAGCCTGATTGTTGGCAAGTGCTCAGGTATTTAGCCATCTTTCTTTTCCAACCTGCAAAACCACTCTAGGTTTTACTTCCTTCTTGAATGAAGTTTCCATTTCATGACACACAACCACTTCCTTCAAATGTCCTTTCTCAACCATCAGAAGCAAATCTCTTTCACATTACTTTTACCTTCACAGCACTGGGAGTCCAGTGCTTGCTGCCCACTGGCAAGGTCCTAGGTCTAATCACTGGCCCACAAAACAGACAGACAGAAAAGATAAATGGGCAAATACCACTTGTGGTACTAATAGAGCAGCTTGGAAAAACAATAGGAAATATTTGAATATGTAACAAAACATTTGCTTGTCTGTTCTTATTCATCAGAACTTGTCTCAATTTTTCATTTTTCCTTATTTCTAAGGATTTGTGAACACAGGAAACAGTACTAAGTATTGATCTCAATATGAAATGTCTCCCAGAGGCTCACATTCTGGTACTATTTTGGGATCTGTGGAAACCTTAGGGCTGGGGTTGTGCTGCGGGAAGCATGCCTCTAAGGGTAACACCAGGTTCCCAACCTCTTCCTCTGCTTGACTCCTTGACAGGAACTGCTCTGGATCTACTGCATCTTCTTACTGAGACCAAATGAGACCTCTGAAGCTATGAACTAAGAGTAATCTTTCTTCCGTTGTGTCTCCTGTTCTGGGGTGCTAGCAATGTAAAACCTTGATTAGTACAGTAAGAAGTGGGAGTCCCATAACTACTATCAGCTACACAATATGGTCAAGTAACTATCCTTTTGGTAGTCAAGAATGTTAGTATAGTGCTCAAAACATTTCTAAGGAAAGACATGAGATGACTTTTTAGTTCAGAGAAGAAAACATTTAATGTTCTATTCACAGACTGACATACTATTTCAGTAACGGGATATATAATAAAATATTTCTACTGCAAGCACTCAAGCATAGTCAGAGAGTATGTAAGGAACTGGCTGGTTCAAATGGAACTGCTAAAGTCATTTAAAGATGAGGACATGGAAACTTACCTACTTAAGTTGCCAGGACATATTTTATTTTTATTTTTTGTGCATGTGTTTTTTACCTGCATGTATGTCTGTGTACTACATGCATGCTTGGGCCCACAGAGTCCAGAAGAGGACAACTGATACCCTATAACTGGAGTTACAGACAATTTTAAGCTGCCAACTGGGTGCTGAGAATAGGATCTGGGTCCTCAGGAAGAATAGAAAATGCTCTTAACCACTGAGCAACCTCTCCAGCCCCCTCATGGAATAGTTTATGTGTTAAGACTAATGATGAATTTACACTTTTCTTTAATGTTATATATTGAGTTAATCTCTAAGTAACTTCAGACTATAGATATTTTTTTACCATCTTCAGAGAGATGCATGCATACATACATAAAAAGACATTTTAAGTGTAATTTTTAAAATGTCACACACACATACCACCACCAACAACAACAACAACATATACTAAAAATAATTTGGTCCTGTCTTCACACAATAATCCACAAGTACACACTAGTGGCCATAATTAAAGAATATAGTCTCTCTTGCTGGGCAAAACACAGGAAATAATTTAGTAGTGACTATAGATTATAGATTGTAGCTTAATAGATGACCTTCATCTAGTGTGTGGACTCCAAAGGTATTATAAACAATAGAACAAATCATATCCTAATACTTCTAATCACACAATGCTTCACAAGCATTCCTAACATTTAGTAAAGTGTGATTTGAAGTAGCGCTACAATTAATAACATTATCAATGTAACTTAAATAAAGAAAACACACAATACATTTCCACACCTCTAAATTCAACTCATAGATGTTACTTATCCAACTATTTTCTGAAAACTTTCTGATCAATTTTCCAAACTCCCAATGAAGTAATAAAAAGTTTTGGAGCTAAAAATTCTCTTGGCACTTGATTAAGGGGGAGGGGAGGAGGAAGTCTTCAATACCTACCATCTTCAGTCCTTGGTTGCTGAGGGAACATGTAGTTAGTAAGCACCGTTTTCTGAGCCTCTGAATCAGTTTCTTTTTGAAGAGGTATCAGAGGTTTGGACTAGGGAAAAAAATGGTTAATTTTCAATAAACCTAAAGGAAATATATATCTAACGATCCCTACGAATAACCACCCACCAATTTAAAAAGCATCAAGGTGCAGGTTACAAAAACGAATTTGGATATATACAAAATAGCACTTTGAACATTCATTTGAAACCACAAAGAAATCTAAAAAAAGAAATTTAAATTTTAATAAAATGCAAATTCAATATAATTACCACCGCAATGATTATAAAATGTTTCAATGTGCCAAGAATATCTATGAATTATTTACTACACAGTGATTTTACTAATAATGTTATAAAACCTTTTCCTATTTTATATTATTTTGCTGATTCTAGTATTTCCTTTTGCAAAAATGCTTTTAAGGGAAAAAACATTTAGAAGGTTTTAACTAGCTATCTAAACATTTATTCCAGTTAGTTGCTAGATAAATAGTGCTTAAAAGTAATTAGTAAGTTGAAAACCGCTTCTCTCCTATCTCCATCAATGGCACCAACAAGACACTTGCGGGAGCCCCCAGGTATTTTAGACTGCCTTCTTTTCTTAGTATCTTTGTTCTAATGGTTACCACATCATAATCAAACTCCCTCCTAATACAACTAACTCTTACTATCAATATCCTCACCTAAAATTCTATCACTAAGAGTCCTAAATGACTCCAGGTAGGTAGGGGCCTGGTCTTCTCTTGTATATTACCTTTCAGTTCATTCTTTGGACAAACTCTTGGGAAAACTGAATTCCATCCTGAAATCTTACTCCCAAATATTTAAAATTTTGTGACCTTCCCCTGGTTAAAAACTAAACTGTCCTATATTCTCAAATATTCTGACCATTTTACTTGACTTCCTCAAATAATAGAATAGATTGATACTCTTTCCTAAAATCTCAGCTACAGGCTGAGTCTTTCTTCACACTGTTTTCCAGAGTAAGGACCCAGATGACAGTATTTACAATGCTCTGAGAGCCCACCCTGGTCTATCTTCAAATATAAACTGCCCCTCCTGCACATCATCCCGGGTTCTAATTCAATCTTCTTATTATCCACCAAGCCCCTCAACTCCAGGTGGAGCACAGCTAATTAAAAGTTCCAAAATAGCCGGGTGGTGGTGGCGCATGCCTTTAATCCCAGCACTTGGGAGGCAGAGCCAGGTAGATCTCTGTGAGTTCAAGGCCAGCCTGGGCTACAGAGTGAGTTCCAGGAAAGGTGCAAAGCTACACAGAGAAATCCTGTCTCGAAAAACCAAAAGTTCCAAAATATTCCAAAATCTGAAAACACTGAGCATTGACATGACTGTCACAAGGAGAACAAGACACATTTGACCTCAAGAGAAAGTTAATGCTAAAAATACAAAAAATTAATTTTTAAATGCTACATGAAATTATTTTCAGGATATGTTAAGAAATATATGAAACATTAATAAAGTTTATATTTAGATTTTGATTATTATTTCATTATTAAATTGTGAATATTAAAAGAAAAATTTGGGAGGTAGAGGCAGGTGGATCTCTGTGAGTCTGAGGCCAGGCTGGTCTAAAGAGCAAGTTCCAGGACAGCCAGGGCTACACAGAGAAACCCTGTCTCAAAAAACCAAAACAACAACAGCAAAAATAAAATCCAAAAATCTCCAAAATATCTTATCCCAGGCATATCAGATAAGGGATATTCAATCTGCACACCCACCTCTCTTCCATAAAATATTTCCACAGTCATAGGTAATTCAACAGATAAATAACATAGATACACTTTTGACCCACTAGTTTCTTAGTATGTGAAGAAGCAGCCCCCTTTAAATGGCAATATCAAGATGGGGAAACTTACAGATACAACTGAACCAAGCCAGTGGAACTCATGAACTATGGACTGACAGCTGTGGAGCCTGCATGGGACTGGACTGGGCCCTCTGCATGGGCGAGACAATTGTGTAACTTGATTTGTTTGAGGGGCCCCTGATAGTGGGAATAGGATCTATCCCTGGTGCATGAACTGGCTTTTTGGAGCCCATTGCCTATGGTGGGACACCTTGCACAGCCTTGATGCAGGGGGAGGGGCTTGGACCTGCCTCAACTGAATGTGCTGGGCTTTGCTGACTCCCCATGGGAGGCCTTACCTTTTTGGAGGAGGGGATTGGGGGCAGGCTGAAGGGGGGAAAGCGGGAGGAGAGATGGAGAGGGAGGGGTCTGTGGTTGGTATGTGGAATAAATAAAAAAATTCTTAATTAAAAAAAAATGGCAATATCAAAATTATCTAGGACATTTTTAAAAACCAATTTCCCTGAAAGTACTCTGATAGTCTCCTTTAAACAACCGACTACATATGTCAAAATCAATGTATTTTAAAATGGGTGAATTGAATGGTATATGAATTATACTTCATAAAATTTATAACCATTGCTACTACTTATGGAGCACACAGATGGAGAAAAGAATTAGTTTATCAAGCTTTTCCCATACCTTGAATGCCTAACTACTGATCTAGAATCCCATTTAATTTTCAGATACTCATTCAGTTCTCTTGCTGTAAGAATCAGGATGTCACCTGCCAGTGCTCTTCCTCTGAAACTTAAATCACTTCCTCGTCAAATACTAATAACGAATTACAGGTATCTACACTGACTTCTGATGAAGCGCTTAACAAGACTGGCTATGACAACAGACACAATCACAAGGTAACAAGGGGTAGAGCACTACTGTCTCAGACAAACAGGACAACAGTTCTGAGAGGTGAGAGATGAGGAGAGGAAAAGAACAGGCTGGTAGGGCAAAGGCTGTACTCAACGAGAACTCACTTGGTAGGAAGAATGAATGTGTAAGAGGTAACGAGGTATGAATGAGACCTTGAGGCCAATGACATGCAGAAAACCCATCAGCATTATTTCAAGGTTAGTGTAAGTTTAAGATCGAGAAATCGCCGGGCGGTTGTGGTGCACACCTTTAATCCCAGCACTCAGGAGGCAGAGGCAGGCGGATCTCTGTGAGTTCGAGGCCAGCCTGAGCTACAGAGTGAGTTCCAGGAAAGGTGCAAATCTACACAGAGAAACCCTGTCTCGGAGAAAAGAAAAAAAAAAAAAAGAGAGAGAGAGAGAGAGAGAGAGAGAGAGAGAGAGAGAGAGAGAGAGAGAGAGAGAGAGAGAGAGAGAGATATCATGATGTGAGGCACAGTATGAGGGTGACAGAGAGCCAGCAGGAGCAGGGAATAATGTGGTGATATTTTATTTGTATGTTAATAAATTAAAAGTTTGCCTGGAGATCAGAGGTCATAGCCAGCCATAAACAAAAGTCAGGTGGTGGTAGCACACGCCCTTAATCACATGGCAGGCAAAGTCTCTATGCTTTTAAGGACACATGCCTTTAATCCCAGTACCAAACATAGAGACCTGGAGGTCTGTATAGACAGGCAGTGATGAGGAAGTGATGTGGCTGGGCTTAGAGCCAATGAGAAGGCAGAACAAAAGGCAATAAAAAGACAGGACACAGGAAGAAGCTCTCTCTCTCACTCTCAGGGGAAAGGATGGCAGCGAGTGGTAAGATAAGGTGGTCTTGGCTCTTGGCTGCTGCTCCATCTCTAGGCTTTCACCCCTATATTTGGCTCTGTTTCTTATTTAATAAGACTGTTTAGCAGTAACACAGGAGGCAGAGACCAAGTACAAAGTTATGTCAACAATCTGAGTCAGAACTGTCCAATTTGTAATTGTCTAGTAAAAAGATAATAGAGTGCTTGGCTACTATACAGGAGGCTGTGGGTCTGAATCCTAGTATTAGCAAGTGGGTTGAAGCTGAGCATGGTAGCATATGCCCGTAATCCTAGCACTTTATAGACTGAGACAAGATGATTTTTGAGTTTGAGGCTGGCCTGGGCTACATAGGAAGACTTTATCTCAGGAGTAAAAATGGGAAGAGGGCCTCAAAAGAAATGAAAATTATTTCAATAATGCATTCAATTTAACCTTATTTTAAAAAATTAATTTTTAGCATGAAATCCAAAATAAAAATTTTGAGTGCAAAATTCACATGTTTAGGCTCATACTAGGGCAAAAACCAGTATATAGTTAATTACAAGGCATCTGACTTTGGGTTAACTGCCTATGACACTATGGGTGCGGTACTGGACAGGGCAGGTCTGCATGAAATGATGAAACACACACATGAGATATTCAACATTCCTGAGGACTTGGTGATGAACTGGACTGGCAGAGTGGAGATATCAGTAGTTAAAGGTTCTTCTCCTATGTATGTCACTCCATAAAACATTTCTCACTGAGTTAAGGATCCCAGGGAACATTTGAGGCAGAGGATGGTATGCTGTTAGGGGGAGCCAATTCTGAGGTATTGAAGTGTCAATGTTGGACAGATACTGGCCAAATGTATGACCTAGGAACAGGTACCAGGCTAAAGATATTGTTAAGAATAATGAGGATACAGAAAGTAATGCGAAGGGCAGTTTACAGAAATAGAAGAGAGGAACGTCATTATGTAAGTCATCAAGAGAAGAGCCAGGCTTGGAAAGCAGACTACAGAATCATCAGGTGAGCAGCAGAGCCAGGGAAGTGCAGCAGCCCACTCTCCAAATCTATCGTTTTCACCTTACTAAAACTGCTCACTTCTTCACCTTTCAATTCACTGTCATTGGCTCCTTTTCCACTATATGCTAACATTGAATTTTAGACCACTTTCTTCCCAATAACCAAGATCTCCTTCCTGTGCTGGCTTCGCTTACACCTGGAGTGGCAGTTATATCTCAGGCCAGGCGTGATGGCGTGATGGTGCACATCTTTAATCCCAGCACTCAGGAGGGAGAGGCAGAGGCAGGAGGATTTCTATGAATTTGACACCAGCTTGGTCTACATAGCAAGTTCCAGTCTAGCCAAGGCTACCTAGTGAGACCCTGTCTCAAAACCCCAAGTAAAATAAAATATTTGTACACAAAACTGAGCCAAGTAGCATCACTCCACCTATGACCTTTAGGACTTTCTCAAAATTAATCATCAAAGTATTATTTCCTTTTTCCATTACTTTTACAGATTTTTGCTTACTTCTATCACTACAAATCTGTAACATTATTCTCAATAGTCACGATAAAAAACAAGTCTAGTGTGGCTGGAAAGACAATTCAGAGGTTAATAGCTCTTACAGAGGACCTGGGTTTCGTTCCCAGATGCCACATGGCAGCTTACAACCACTTGTAACTCCAGTCCTAGGGAATCCTATGCCCTCTTCTGACCTCCAGGCACCAGGAACACATACATACATGCACCAAAACACTTAAAAGACATAAGTAAATAAGAAAGCAGAAATCAGCCTAAGTGTCCATCAGTGAATGACTGGCTAATGATAGTGTGTCACATACACCTAATAAAATATACGTCAGCCTTTAATGGAAAGAAAAGGATATCTTGTGATCTGAAACATTAGCGAATCTGGAATAACTGAAATAACCCAGACACAGAAAGATAATTATCACATGGTGTGGTGGTAACAGGGGCTTGGGTTGGGAGTGGATTGGGGTATGCTGGTTCAAGTGCACAAAACTGATAAGAAGAATAAACTCAAGAGCTCTACTGTAAATTATGGTAATTTTAGTCAGAAACACTGTATCATTCAAAATTGCTGAGAGAATAGATTTCATGTGCATTCAAAAAGAAGCAACAATGGTAGGAAGTAATGATATGAAGTTAGGTGGGATTGGGTCTCATTTCCTGATCTCGCTATATTTTTATGGGTTTGGAAACGTGCAAAAATACAACAAAATTTATTACTTATATATCTATATCTGTGTTAAAAAATTGTTTCCAAATTTGATATTTCTTCATATATAAAAAAATACATTTTTACATGTCAACCAAGGTATAACTGCTCCTAAGTGGCACTATATAAATTAAGGAGTATTATTATATAACACAATTGGAATTCCAGCCAAATTTACTAGGTCAGAATGCCCACCTGATTATCTGAGAGCCACATAGCAGTCAACTGTTGTAGCTTTGTAAAGCTAAAAGGCAAATTCTTTAACCTGAATGGAAAAAGACAGACAAAAATTAGACTTAAAAATGAGAATACTTCGAATGACGAGTGATTGCATTGGAAGTGCAGCTCAATGGTATAGCACTAAGCTAGCATGGAAACTAACTTCCCACCTCCTAGTACCACAAAAATAATTCAAATGAAAACTTAAGTCATCTGAACAATGCTACATATTGGTATATGCAGATAAGATGACAAAAAAAAGTAAAGCCAAATGCAAACTTTTACATAAGAGAAGGACAAAAACAGCGAGTTTTAAAAACATTTTTTAACTGATTTAATTCAGCAGATAAGAAAAAGAGTAATCCAGCAAGTAAACCTCAAACACATTATATGCACCAGCCTGAAAGGAGGCTGTATTTCCTGAGGATTTTCAACAATGTGGACTCAAAAAGCAATCTCCAACGTCAGTACAAAAACCCTCCAGACGTACTTTAGTCTAGGACAGACACATTACCTGTCCAAGAGGAGCTTCTATACTCCTAGAACTTTATCTGATGTTACTTATCATATTGTGATTGTCTCATTTGGAAAGGGAAATTGTGAGAATAAACAAAGTTTACTACAGAGGCAAAGGTTCTTCTTAAATTAAATGCTGCTGTTAGGACACTGACAAGTCACTCAGAATACTGTACTTAAAGCTCTACTTTGCAAACTATGAGAGCCCCAAATTTCTCCTACACAACAGAGAAACACCTACTGTACTACTGCAAAGGGACGGCCTTCATACTTTATAAAGTACTACAAAATCAAATCTAAGATATTCCACACTGCTGCTGAAACAGCCTCCAGCCAGTAATCACTACTCCAGTCTAGCAATCCCAGAAGGCAATCAACTTGCTCTGCAATTTGGCTCTTATGGCCCATGCTCTGTGAGTGAATCTCTACCCAGAAAAAGACAAGCAAAGATTAGATTTAAAAGTTGCTTTGTTCAGCAGCAGTACAAAGGTGAATTTGGAACTATAGGAATTAAAAGGTTATATAATAATGAGAAAGTAAAGGTTGTATAGTTATGTTTCCTCAAAATGAATCATGACAATCACAATGTAACATCAGATAGTCTGTTCATCTTTCAATTAAAAAATTTAAATATATATAAAGAGAAATAAACAACAGCTAGCCTAGCACATTTTATATCAAACTTTAACTTCATTCAATGTATTGTATAAGCCAACTGAAGATTACAAACCTATTATCACTTAAATTAATGACTTTTAGTTTTTGCATATCACCCATTTCTTCTGGAAGTGTCTCTAGTTTATTAGAATGGAGAAACAGCACAGTTATATTTTTCCAGTTTCCAATCTGAAAGAGAAAAACAAACTGGAGATCACAAATCTGGTCTATAGGTTAATAAAAGAATATCAATATATCTGAAAGTTGTGAAAAATATTCTTTACATTTACAAAATACTACTTTTGTAGTAACTTTATTTTATATATTTATATATTTATATTTATTTATTTATCTATTTATTTATTTAAGACAGGGTTTATGTGTAGCTCTGGCTATACTGGAACTCGCTGTGTACACCAGGCTGGCCTTGAACTCAGAGATATGCCTGCCTCTGCCTCCCAAGTGCTGCGATGAAAGGCATGTACCACCACCACCCAGCTTTAATTATTCTTTTTAAATTATTACCTTTCCTTTAAAAAGCAAAGTGTTTAAGAACATCTTCAAAGTTGCATAGCTGTTATTATTTAGATAATACATAAATTAATTAATAAACCACTTTAGAAAGAAAATAAAACACCAACATACTTAAAGAGTATGTTTTCAAAGCAGACCAAAATCTGAAATAAATCAAAATACTGTACCTCTGGGGGTAACTGTTGTAAGTAATTGTGATCTGCAGCAAATGTTCTTATGTTTATAAGCTGTCCAATCGATGAAGGTAAAGCTTCAATTTCATTGAAACTGCAATCCAGTTCTTCTATTGACCTTAACCTATAATTATATGGGAAATACACGGTTTTTAAAATCTATACTATAACCAAAATTTAAGAACATATCAACATGAACTTTACCAAACAATGAAATTTAATAAAGCTCTATTTTATCAACAATAAATGAGCCTATTTTTATTATAAAATAACTAAATTATATACAAATCATTTGTTTTAAATGTTTGTGGACTCTGCTTTAATGTTCCTTATGTAAATATGTAAAATGACGCTGAGATACATGCTGAGTTAACAGTAACATTTTTCTTGTCTACACATTCACACGCAACTCACCCTCCTATTGAGTCTGGTAGATACATTAACTGGTTTTCATCTATTTTAAGAGTTGTGACATTTTTCAATGAACCTATTGAGAAGAAATAATAAATCATTTTCAGCTTAAATGAGAAAGCAAGTCCATCAATAATCAATGTGAAATACATTAGATTTGACAAGAATTAGAAAACATTATCAATAAACATACCTACAAGAGAAACTACACCCTAACGTCACCCACTCTTACTCACCCAACATTTCTATTTTCACCCACCACACCTTTGTATATGTGTGTGTCTATGTGTGTGTGTGCGCCTGAATGTGTGTGCGTGTATAGGTGGATGAGTGTGCTTGTGAAGGCCTGAGGTAAGCCTTGGGTGTCCTTCCCCAGGATCCAACCTTGTTTTTGAGGCAGGTCTCATACTAGGACCTGGGGCTCATCTACTAGGTCAGGATGGCAAGCTCGGAAGCCCCTGGGACCCGCCTCCTCAAGGCTGGGAGCAAAGTGCACACACCACTAAGGCTGGCGTTTAACATTAGTGTTCGGAATCAAACTCAGTCCTTATACTTGGCGGGCGAGTCTTTTCTATCTCTCCAGCCTCCAGTGCACTGTTTAACTGGCCTGAAGAATAATAACTGGCTTTCTACCCAACCCCAAATAAAATATAAGCTCCCCAAGAAGACAGACATTTTGTCTCCACTGTTCACTTCTCTAACCTTGTTCTTAAAAACAATGTCATGGCATAGAGAATTTACTATAATTTGTTAAATATATAAAAAAAAAGCAGTGTGAAGGCTGTTTGTCACTACATAACAAAACAGTATATGTAAATAAATACATTTCAATTCAAATATTAAGAGTACTGATTAAATTAGAATACAATCCTAAAATGTACCTTACCTTTAAAACTGGTATAATTCAACTGAGAAATATGTAAAATAATTTAAGTTTTTCTATTATATGACCTTGCAGATTTAAGTATGTGTTTGTAACAAGAATTGCTAAATGGTCTTATTAATAAAAAACCTGGGGCTGGAGAGATGGCTCAGAGGTTAAGAGCACCGACTGCTCTTCTAGAGGTCCTGAGTTCAATTCACAGCACCCACATGGTGGCTCACAACCATCTGTAATGAGATCTGGCACCCTCTTCTGTATACACAATAAATAAATAAATCTAAATAAATAAATAAATAAATAAATAAATAAATAAATAAATAAATAACCTGGAGCCAGATATTGGGGTGAAAGCTGAAAGATCAGAGGGATAGAACAAGCCACGGCCACAAGTTCTTACCACTAGGAAATCCTAAGCCCAAGAGAGAGCTACTTCCTGTGTACTCATGCTTTACACATCTTTCTGTGCCCTACCATCTTACTTCCTCTCTCAGCCCAACTACAACACTTCCTCTTTCCACTCAGCTCTATCACTTCCTGTCTGTCTGTCCAGACCTCCAGACCTCTATGGTTAACTAGTGCTGGGATTAAAGGCATGTGCCACCAGGCCTGGCTTTGTTCCCAGTGTGGCCTTGAACTCACATACAGATGAATCTCTGCCTCCTGAATGCTAGGATTAAAGGCATGTGCTACCACTGCCTGATGTCTATGTTTAATATAGTGGCTGGCTTTTTCCTTTGATCCCTAGGCAAGCTTTATTTGTTACAGCATAAATAAAATACCACCACATCTGTTACTCTTGGTCATGTTGCATTTGTTTAACTCTGTGAAGCTGTTACTTTGTCTGACTCAAACACCTGATGGTCTAATAAAGAACGGCCAATAGCGAGGCAGGTGAAAGGACAGGTGGGACTGGCAGGCAGAGGGAATAAGTAGAAAAGAAATCTGGGAGAGGAAAGAGTAGCCAGGAAAGGAGGAGGACATCAGGGGCCAGCCACATAGCCAGTCATGGAGTGAGAGTGAAAGTTAAGTTCACAGAAGTAAGAAAAGGGAAAAGCCCAGAGGCAAAAGGTAGCTGGGATACTTAGGCGTTTATAATTAATAATAAGCCTGTGTGTGTGTGTGTGTGTGTGTGTGTGTGTGTGTGTGTGTGAGAG